TAAGTTGAATGAGTCCGAGGTGGTGATGTTGTACAGTGGCTGCCCTGTTTTCTAGTGTGTGGTAAGTTGAATGAGTCGGAGGTGGTGATGTTGTACAGTGGCTACCCTGTTTCTAGTGTGTGGCAAGTTGAATGAGTCGGAGGTGGTGATGCTGTACAGTGGCTGCCCTGTTTCTAGTGTATGGTAAAATGAATGAGTTGGAGTTGGTGATGTTGTACAGTGGCTGCCCTATTTTCTAGGGTGTGGTAAGTTGAATGAGTCGGAGGTGGTGCTGTTCTACAGTGGCTGTCCTGTTTTCTAGTGTGTGGTAAGTTGAATGAGTCGGAGGTGGTGATGTTGTACAGTGGCTGCCCTGTTTCTAGTGTGTGGTTAGTTGAAGGAGTGGGAAATGGTGATGTTGTACAGTGGCTGCCCTGTTTTCTAGTGTGTGGTAAGTTGAATGAGTAAGAGGTGGTGATGTTGTACAGTGGCTGCCCTGTTTTCTAGTGTGTGGTAAGTTGAATGAGTCGAAGGTGGTGATGCTGTACAGTGGCTGCCCTATTTCTAGTGTGTGGTAAGTTGAATGGGTCCGAGGTGGTGATGTTGTACAGTGGCTGCCCTGTTTTCTAGTGTGTGGTAAGTTGAATGAGTCGCAGGTGGTGATGCTGTACAGTGGCTGACCTGTTTCTATTGTGTGGTAAGTTGAATGAGTCGGATATGGGGATGTTATACAGTGGCCGCCCTGTTTCTAGTGTGTGGTAAGTTGAATTAGTCGGAGGTGGTGATGTTGTACAGTGGCCTCCTGTTTTCTAGTGTGTGGTAAGTTAAATGAGTCAGAGGTGGTGATGTTGTCCAGTGGCTGTCCTGTTTCTAGTGTGTGGTAAGTTGAATGAGTCGCAGGTGGTGATGTTGTATAGTGGCTGTCGTATTTTCTAGTGTGTGATAAGTTGAATGAGTCGGAGGTGGTGATGTTGTACAGTGGCTGTCCTATTTTCTAATGTGTGGTAAGTTGAATGAGTCGGAGGTGGTGATGTTGTACAGTGGCTGTCCTATTTTCTAGTGTGTGGTAAGTTGAATGAGTCAGAGGTGGTGATGTTGTACAGTGGCTGCCCTGTTTTCTAGTGTGTGGTAAGTTGAATGACTCGGAGGTGGTGATGTTTTACAGTGGCTGCCCTGTTTCTAGTGTATGGTAAAATGAATGAGTCGGAGGTGGTGATGTTGTACAGTGGCTGCCCTATTTTCTAGGGTGTGGTAAGTTGAATGAGTCGGAGGTGGTGCTGTTGTACAGTGGCTGCCCTGTTTTCTAGCGTGTGGTAAGTTGAATGAGTCGAAAGTGGTGATGCTGTACAGTGGCTGCCCTATTTCTAGTGTGTGGTAAGTTGAATGGGTCCGAGGTGGTGATGTTGTACAGTGGCTGCCCTGTTTTCTAGTGTGTGGTAAGTTGAATGAGTCGCAGGTGGTGATGCTGTACAGTGGCTGCCCTGTATCTAGTGTGTGGTAAGTTGAATGAGTCGGAGGTGGTGATGTTGTACAGTGGCTGCCCTATTTTCTAGTGTGTGGTAAGTTGAATGAGTCGGAGATGGTGATGTTGTACAGTGGCTGCCCTGTTTCTAGTGTGTGGTAAGTTGAATGAGTCAGAGGTGGTGATGTTGTCCAGTGGCTGTCCTGTTTCTAGTGTGTGGTAAGTTGAATGAGTCGGAGGTGGTGATGTTGTACAGTGGCTGTCGTATTTTCTAGTGTGTGGTAAGTTGAATGAGTCGGAGGTGGTGATGTTGTACTCAGGCTGCCCTATTTTCTAGTGTGTGTTAAGTTGAATGAGTCCGAGGTGGTGATGTTGTACAGTGGCTGTCCTATTTTCTAGTGTGTGGTAAGTTGAATGAGTCAGAGGTGGTGATGTTGTACAGTGGCTGCCCTGTTTTCTAGTGTGTGGTAAGTTGAATGAGTCGGAGGTGGTGATGTTGTACAGTGGCTGCCCTGTTTTCTAGTGTGTGGTAAGTTGAATGAGTCGGAGGTGGTGATGTTGTACAGTGGCTGCCCTGTTTCTAGTGTGTGGTAAGTTGAATGAGTCGGAGGTGGTGATGCTGTACAGTGGCTGCCCTTTTTCTAGTGTATGGTAAAATGAATGAGTCGGAGGTGGTGATGTTGTACAGTGGCTGCCCTATTTTCTAGGGTGTGGTAAGTTGAATGAGTCGGAGGTGGTGCTGTTGTACAGTGGCTGTCCTGTTTTCTAGTGTGTGGTAAGTTGAATGAGTCGGAGGTGGTGATGTTGTACAGTGGCTGCCCTGTTTCTAGTGTGTGGTTAGTTGAAGGAGTGGGAAATGGTGATGTTGTACAGTGGCTGCCCTATTTTCTAGTTCGTGGTAAGTTGAATGAGTAAGAGGTGGTGATGTTGTACAGTGGCTGCCCTGTTTTCTAGTGTGTGGTAAGTGGAATGAGTCGAAGGTGGTGATGCTGTACAGTGGCTGCCCTATTTCTAGTGTGTGGTAAGTTGAATGGGTCCGAGGTGGTGATGTTGTACAGTGGCTGCCCTGTTTTCTAGTGTGTGGTAAGTTGAATGAGTCGCAGGTGGTGATGCTGTACAGTGGCTGACCTGTTTCTATTGTGTGGTAAGTTGAATGAGTCGGATATGGGGATGTTGTACAGTGGCTGCCCTGTTTCTAGTGTGTGGTAAGTTGAATTAGTCGGAGGTGGTGATGTTGTACAGTGGCCTCCTGTTTTCTAGTGTGTGGTAAGTTGAATGAGTCGGAGGTGGTGATGTTGTACAGTGGCTGCCCTGTTTCTAGTGTGTGGTAAGTTAAATGAGTCAGAGGAGGTGATGTTGTCCAGTGGCTGTCCTGTTTCTAGTGTGTGGTAAGTTGAATGAGTCGGAGGTGGTGATGTTGTACAGTGGCTGTCGTATTTTCTAGTGTGTGATAAATTGAATGAGTCGGAGGTGGTGATGTTGTACAGTGGCTGTCCTATTTTCTAGTGTGTGGTAAGTTGAATGAGTCAGAGGTGGTGATGTTGTACAGTGGCTGCCCTGTTTTCTAGTGTGTGTTAAGTTGAATGAGTCGGAGGTGGTGATGTTGTACAGTGGCTGCCCTGTTTTCTAGTGTGTGGTAAGTTGAATGAGTCGGAGGTGGTGATGTTGTACAGTGGCTGCCCTGTTTTCTAGTGTGTGGTAAGTTGAATGAGTCGGAGGTGGTGATGTTATACAGTGGCTGTCCTGTTTTCTAGTGTTTGGTAAGTTGAATGAGTCGGAGGTGGTGATGTTGTACAGTGGCTGCCCGGTTTTTCTAGTGTGTGGTAAGTTTAATGAGTCGGAGGTGGTGATGTTGTACAGTGGCTGCCCTGTTTTCTAGTGTGTGGTAAGTTGAATGAGTCGGAGGTGGTGATGTTGTACATTGGCTGCCCTGTTATCTAGTGTGTGGTAAGTTGAATGAGTCGGAGGTGGTGATGTTGTACAGTGGCTGCCCTGTTTTCTAGTGTGTGGTAAGTTGAATGAGTCGGAGGTGGTGATGTTGTACAGTGGCTGCCCTGTTTTCTAGTGTGTGGTAAGTTGAATGAGTCGGAGGTGGTGATTTTGTACAGTGGCTGTCTTGTTTTCTAGTGTTTGGTAAGTTGAATGAGTCGGAGGTGGTGATGTTGTACAGTGGCTGCCCTGTTTTCTAGTGTGTGGTAAGTTGAATGAGTCGTAGGTGGTGATGTTGTACAGTGGCTGCCCTGTTTTCTAGTGTGTGATAAGTTGAATGAGTCGGAGGTGGTGATGTTGTACATTGGCTGCCCTGTTTTCTAGTGTGTGGTAAGTTGAATGAGTCGGAGGTGGTGATGTTGTACAGTGGCTGTCCTGTTTTCTAGTGTTTGGTAAGTTGAATGAGTCGGAGGTGGTGATGTTGTACAGTGGCTGCCCTGTTTTCTAGTGTGTGGTAAGTTTAATGAGTCGGAGGTGGTGATGTTGTACAGTGGCTGCCCTGTTTTCTAGTGTGTGGTAAGTTGAATGAGTCGGAGGTGGTGATGTTGTACAGTGGCTGCCCTGTTTTCTAGTGTGTGGTAAGTTGAATGAGTCGGAGGTGGTGATGTTGTACAGTGGCTGTCCTGTTTTCTAGTGTTTGGTAAGTTGAATAAGTCGGAGGTGGTGATGTTGTACAGTGGCTGCCCTGTTTTCTAGTGTGTGGTAAGTTTAATGAGTCGGAGGTGGTGATGTTGTACAGTGGCTGCCCTGTTTTCTAGTGTGTGGTAAGTTGAATGAGTCGGAGGTGGTGATGTTGTACAGTGGCTGCCCTGTTTTCTAGTGTGTGGTAAGTTGAATGAGTCGGAGGTGGTGATGTTGTACAGTGGCTGCCCTGTTTTCTAGTGTGTGGTAAGTTGAATGAGTCGGAGGTGGTGATGTTGTACAGTGGCTGCCCTGTTTTCTAGTGTGTGGTAAGTTGAATGAGTCGGAGGTGGTGATGTTGTACAGTGGCTGTCCTGTTTTCTAGTGTTTGGTAAGTTGAATGAGTCGGAGGTGGTGATGTTGTACAGTGGCTGCCCTGTTTTCTAGTGTGTGGTAAGTTTAATGAGTCGGAGGTGGTGATGTTGTACAGTGGCTGCCCTGTTTTCTAGTGTGTGGTAAGTTGAATGAGTCGGAGGTGATGATGTTGTACAGTGGCTGCCCTGTTTTCTAGTGTGTGGTAAGTTGAATGAGTCGGAGGTGGTGATGTTGTACAGTGGCTGCCCTGTTTTCTAGTGTGTGGTAAGTTGAATGAGTCGGAGGTGGTGATGTTGTACAGTGGCTGCCTTGTTTTCTAGTGTGTGGTAAGTTGAATGAGTCGGAGGTGGTGATGTTGTACACTGGCTGCCCTGTTTTCTAGTGTGTGGTAAGTTGAATGAGTCGGAGGTGGTGATGTTGTACAGTGGCTGCCCTGTTTTCTAGTGTGTGGTAAGTTTAATGAGTCGGAGGTGGTGATGTTGTACAGTGGCTGCCCTGTTTTCTAGTGTGTGGTAAGTTTAATGAGTCGGAGGTGGTGATGTTGTACAGTGGCTGCCCTGTTTTCTAGTGTGTGGTAAGTTGAATGAGTCGGAGGTGGTGATGTTGTACAGTGGCAGCACAGTCCACCCCATCCCAAACATCATCCAATCATACGCAGACGCATTCGACACTGCCCACGTCACATTCCAACAGTCGCCCATAAACACCCAAAAGGTCAGATCTCTTCAGACCAGGTCAGCAGGAAAACAATTATCATACCGATTTTAGTTCAGAATTTTTTGTAACCAAATTTTATTTAATTTCATTTTTCCCGTTTTTTTGGCATACACAGTTGATGAGTTTGAAGAACCAACAGTAGGATAATTTTAGCGGAAATGTCTAAGACGCATATTTTTAATCTATTTATTTCAGCAGTCAATGAGTTATTCCAAATTTTCACGACGCTAAAAAATACTCGGAAGCTTTTTTGATAGCTAAAAGGCTGGTTGGAGAAATAAAGGTGGTTTATTTGAAAAACTGCTCATAATTGCTAGCCCGGGTTGACCTATGCACGAAAAGTAGATTATCACACAATTATGTGCAATGAAAAGCTTACCATACAATTACACATGAATTCAATGGAAAAAGTGCTTTTCATACCTTTTCGAATCATAATACTTTTCGATAAGTTTTTTATATGGCTACAAATTTCAGACTCATATTTTTTAATGTTCCTTTTGCCGCAAAATTACGTTTATGCTCAAATAACGTAGTTCATACGTAGTTTCTCAAACAAGCAAAAATGATACAGAATATACATATTTTTCAAAAGGTGGTTAGATAAACTTCATGTCAAAAAACAGGAATACATGCAAAAAGTTTAACCTCTGGGTTTTAAACAAGATGTGAAATTTCACACATTTAGTTCAATAACAAACAAATATATATCTGCGTTTTTTGTTACTTTTGAAAACTTTTGGTTATTGTGGTTTGGGACGAAGCACAAATATTTTGTGAAACTAGCAAACTTATTTTTTATTGTGAAACAAAGCAAACTTATTATTATTTTTTTTATTCACGGAAATTGCATGATTAGAAATTATGGTCAGCCCAGGCGTTTTTGTTAAATGCTCATATCATTTTTTCAGATTCTTGAAAAAAACTCACTGTTGCCAAAGTGTAATCACCGCAAGCAAACTTTATTTTTGACTTAAACATATTTCAGAACTCAGCAACCAATGACTGAAGTTGAGTTACAAACTCTCCCAGGCCAAAATAATGAGCTGTTAAAAAATTATAAATTTGCGAAGAAAAGTGGATGAAAAACCAAATAATTTTTTAATAAACAATTCAAATGTTCAAATGCTTAGCGCCGAATACTCTGGTTGCATCTTTTCTTTAACCTTTGAAAGATATAAAAGATAGCATTTGTTGTTTTCTTTTTTTCATTTACAAAAGTGTCTATGAAACGCATGGCTCATAATTTGTCATCCTGATGCAAACTTTGATCCACAATTTTTAATGACTGGTGACCCACAATTTTTCTATATCTGTTTTTTAAAACAACTTTACTATCGCTTCTTAATCTACTTATGTTTTTAGTTTAAAAAAATGTTCCAAATTCTGCCTTCACTCAATTCAGCCATCCATGCTTTGATGAAGTTCCAAAAATGGGGAAAGTTTGCAGTAATTTACGATCAACAAGATGGTTAGTTGTTTATCTTGTTTTGCAGTTACAATTACTAATCAAATTGGAAGAAACTAAATCGTTATTTTTTAGCCATCGTTTTTTTTTCTTCAAAAAAACATTGACGGGAAATTTCCATTGGCAAGAAACCATAGAAGGAAAATGGCAAAACATTGAAGTGGGTTTTTAGTTTCTTTTACAAAAATTAACGGAGAATTAAAATGATTTTGACTCAAACTAGTTCTGCAAATCAATCAAATGAACTTCCCTTAACGTTGAAGAATAAGCCTTGACGGTTAAAGATGGGCTTTCTCTACTGATTGGCTTCTTAACCTGTTTTTTAATTATTTATTTCTCTTAAAACAAATAAAATTTGAATTGAGATATTTGTTGCTTGGCCTCAGTATTAAAAATCCTCCAGCCATTTTCAAAAAAAGAGAGAACATTTCTGACTTCCAATAACATTGTTCTAATTTGTCTACAAGCTTCTTCTCAAGTTCATAAATTGAACCATAATGCTGCATGATTTAGGCTCCAGGGCAGCAGTTGTAGTTGAAGCTGTCCAAAACTCAGTAAAAACTGCAAGATAAAAGGTAAAATAGCAAAGTTGATCTGAAAATTACAACAAGACTGCTCGTATCAGGGCGAAGCCCTGAATGTTCCGACTGCCTTTTGAGGTTTATGGAGCAGTAATAACCTATAAAAAAAATTTAATGTAATAAAATAAAATGAAAAAAAAAATTCTTCTTTTTCTAAAATTTGAAATTTTTTATGAAAATCATCCCCCCACACGCCATTTAAAGTACAAAAGGATAAATTTCGCTTCTTGTAACAAATCAATTATGGCAAATAAGCTTCGTTAAACCAATTTGGAACGATTTCTAAGACGGATTAAATCTCCTCTTACGCGTTAATAGCTCGAAATATATCGCGCGTTAATTGTCCCAAATTGGCCAAAATGGCAATCTTTAAACCCCCATAACTTTACGAAAAACAATCACAGGTGAAATATTTTTTCAAATTTAAGCTCAGGATAACAATAGCTTTCGAATGATATAAAAAATTCCGTCAAAAATGGCTAGTTAAAAAGTCGAAATTTGTCTGAAGAAAAAAAAACCCACCCCGAGCACAAATATTCCGTTACTTTCGTATCGAAAGTCGGAACAATAAAATGAAATTTGGAGATCAATTTGTCATCAAATTTTGTGAACTATAGTTCAGACCAACTTTCAGTTGAGAGCAAGACAGCTCAGCTCATTGTTCCGACTTTCGATACGAAAGTAACGGAATATTTGTGCTCGGGGTGGGTTTTTTTTTCTTCAGACAAATTTCGACTTTTTAACTAGCCGGTTTTGACGGAATTTTTTTATATCATTCAAAAGGTATTGTTGTCCTGAGCTTAAATTTGAAAAGATAAGCGGAGATTTAATCCGTCTTATAAATCGTTCCAAATTGGTTGAAAGAAGCTTATTTGCCATAATTGATTTGTTACAAGAAGCTAAATCTATAATTTTGTACTTTATATGGCGTGTGGGGGGATGATTTTCACAAAAAATTTCAAATTTTAGAAAAAATTTTCATTTTATTTTATTTCATTTAATTTTTTTATGCTTTTACTGCTGCTCCATAAACTTTAAAAGGCAGTCGGAACATTCAGGGCTTCGCCCTGATACGAGCAATCTTGTTGATTTTTGAAATCCGGCATGATCACTGAAAGGAATTTAATATGATACCACCACTTTTGGCATCATTTGCATAGTCATAATCGTGTGGAATAATCCCATCTATGCCATAGTTCGATCCCTTTCAACATGAGTGGTCGGAATAACTGCTATGGGTCACTTGAGCTTGTCTTTGACTGTTATATGTATAAGATTATCATTTTTTTTTTCGTTTAAAAATGAAAACATTAGTGATTGTGAGTATGTGAATCAGACTTTCGATGCGAACCAAAAAAGCTACAGGTCGAAGTGATCTCAATGCTTTTGAAGGGTTTATCGAGCTCCAGTCTATTCTCCAGGCGCCGTTTAGTGGCACTTTTAAACGGCACGCTAGTTTTATTCACCCAGGTATATCATCCATCGTATTTAGTGCAGTTCGAATATCTATATAACAACGTTGAAGTGGCGTTGATATTAAAATGTCATCAGAGATGATTAAGCAGTTGAAGTTCATATTTTGTATCACTCAACTTTGATTCTTCTGAATAGTATTTTATAGCAAATATAATGAATGAATCAATTTTTCCGATGCATTTTTTAAAAGTCATTCTTATGAACTTGATTCGTCATCAGCGTGAATTTTATATTTAGGTCAGCTTTTGAGCTTCAATTTCGTAAAATTTACAAAAAGAGACAATGGTTACAGTTGAAAATTATGGGGAAAATCGAATCAACCGTACAATCCCCCCTCCCCCCTAAGTGACCAACCGTAGAATTTCCCCCCTATCCGCGTATTTAATTGTACGGTTGATCCGGACAATCTTACAGATAGCAGGAGAACGGTAAAGCAGTAAAAATGGCAGTGTTTCTAATTGAATCAATGTCTAAATGAACGAAAACCCAGTGGGCTTGTCCATGGTTGGGCGAGAATTCATAACAAAGTAATTGGCAAAAAGTGGCCGATTGCTCCGTTTGACTCCGCCGCGCTAAAATTTTGACACATTCGTGCCTTAATCAGCCTGAATTAGTTTTTGCGATTTCAACCTACTGTTACGATTTGTCTTTTTTCTCCTGAAATCAATGATGAAAGTTTTGTGAACCATGAAAGTAAAAAGATCTGAGGAATTTCTTCTAAACTTAAACTCTCTTTTCAAGCTCTGGAGACGTTGACGTCGTTTGTAAACTGGGACGACGCTAGAAAAGACTGTGGGGTTGGGGGCTACCATGAGAAGTGTGTTCTGAAGCCCACTCTGAAATACGTGAACAGCATTTTCGCCATGAACAACTCCCTCGCCAACATCAAACAGAGAGGAGATTGCAAGAACTTCATTCTGTTCTTGTCTAGTTCAAATACAAGGATTTTCTTTCAATATGTGAGACTTTTCAAAGATCTTTTTCCGTGAAAACAATATACCCTCTACACCCTTTAAAGATAAATTACATAACTACCCTATAAAACGACGAACGTGGTACCTGAAATGTGGGTACCTGTGAGTACCTGCAGGTAACGGGTTTTGCAATGGGAAAATTGTTGAAGAGATCCAACTATGGTTGGGCAATCTTGTCTATCTAATGCGATGAGCAACGTGAACAAAACTAGGATATTTGGAGGTTGGGGTGTGACTTCAGACTTTTTGTTTTCTGGGCTCAGCGAAACTCAAAAAGACACTAACATAGTGAAAATTATAATACTTTAGATCAGCAGCGGATTTAGAGGAGGTAGCGAGGGGAGAGGAGAGGGATCGGATGCCTTCTTCTTCCGGGTATCGACCCCCTACCGACCCCAAAGCCGCCCTTGTACAATTTTTAGATCTCTGTTTTTGGCTGACGGACCCTAAATTCATTCTTAAGGCGTATTCATTACCAATATATATTAAATTTGAGGGGTAAGCGCGGTTTTTCGGTCAAAATATTCCAAAAATGCCTAAAACGTCTTTTTTGGCCTGAATAAAAGTTCAATAAAATTTCAAAAGTTTTTTTTGAAATCCGCCCCTCCTCCAGTAAACCTTAGATCCGCCCCTGCCTTCGTTGTCGAACAAGTAAAAGCTTAGGAAGATTTAATCGTTGAATCATAATAAAGAATAGAGGAGAGATCATTGCATTTTATGGTTATGCAATAGAAGTTTTACCGGCATTCTAGAAAACATATATATCGGTAACTAGATTTCCGTCAATCAGAGATGTCTGGCCTTGACTGATTTATGTTAAGCTGAAAACGACGTCTTACTTATACTGACGAAAAATTTAAAACACTATTTTTTCGTACCAATAGTTATAAGTTTTCTCCTTTGTCATCTTCGATGAGTATCGCATAGTCTTATTGCTGACCTTGACGCGACTGTGTTTTGGTGAATTGTCAGGTACTTCACACTTTTAACTTTTACCATATTGCATACACTTCCAACATTCTCTTGCAAGGTTGGATACTTTTTTTTGCGCATAAAATGCCTCAACAGATCGACATGTTTTGGGCATGTGAGAATTTAAACCAAAATATGTCATTGGAGTTGTTTTTTGGCATCTTAGATTTTGGGGGCTCACTTCTATCGACAACATCGTGTTCGCCCAAATCGGAGATTTTGTTTTCTAAGATACTGATTTTTTTCATAGGGGTAATTTGTAATACCATTCAAAGCTGATACTTTTCAATAGTTGTTTGTATCGTCATCTTATCTTTTTAGCTCAGCAGCCTCAGATATAGCGTTTCTATCAATGGTACTTAAATCAATTACAGAGTAATAGACCCCAAAATAAGTTTGAGCGGTGAATTTTTTGAACAGTAATTGAAAATCCCAAAAACAATTTTGAACAGACAATGAAGTTAAAAAATCAGCCGCAAAAAACACAAAAAATTATAACCTCCAAACTAACCGCGGATCTGGTAGCATTTGCGAAGCAATCGTATTATGTCAAAAGAAGAGTAACGGACAAATAACAAAATTACTATTAAAACAGATTGAACATAAATTCAGCTAAAAAAAAGCCTCGTGCTCTTTAGCTTTTAAAAAAATAAAGGAGAGACCAAAGTAATTCAGCCAGTCAGTAACATTAACTTGGAAAAAGGCCAAAAACATCAATAAATTTTTCGCAATTATCGGTAATGCTGTATCCGACAGCAGCACCAGTTCAATGCCAATCATCATTAGAGAGCAATCTAAATCAATAAAAAAAAGAAGTATAGCTCAAACTGCTACGACATCAATTATTTTTTCGTAACATACCTAAAAGAGTTACTTGCTGACCCACATGAAATATTTTTTGATGAATGTTTCCGAAAACAGTTGCAAAAATTGTATCAACTCAAAAAGGAGGAATTGAAAACAGCCGGAATATTTTAGACCAGTTTCCTTTTTGTCATTCATTAGAAAAATCCTTGAACTGCTAATATACAATCTTATGAACCGGTTTATTCAAAAATTTGACTTGCTCTGATAAAGTCAATTCGGACTCCGGGAGAGAAGAGGCGCAGTAAATACGATTTTATCGCTTATTCGATTGCAGTAGATACGATTGTCCTTCCATTTTACCTCAACAACTTTAAGACATGGGCTTTCAGGGACAATTAAACCAGATTTTAAAATCGTACTTATTAGATCTTACGCAATATTTGGACCAAAAGATACAAACTTTCACTAATTAATGTTGAAAGAGGATTACCACAAGGCTCAATAATAGACCCATTGCTTTTCATGATATATGTAAGTGATTTGTAAGTCAACAAGAACAGTAGCAGAAGTAATTTACTTCTTTATGCGGACGATTTATTCAAAGTTAACAAAGGCACACCAAGTGATCATGAATGTTAGTAACAAAACGCTGAGCCAAAATAAACTTACACTAAAAGGTGTCAAAACTAACACAATCACATATGGAAAAATTAGCAATCTGGTAAACACCAAAGACTGTGTTTCCTTGTATCAAAAAAGTTGAAGAAGTGCGCGTTTTCGATACTTAGAAGTAAATGTAGACCAAAATTAGTTTTTCACGATCATATATAAAAAACATAACTTTGAAGTTGCTCCAATTTTGCGGAATGCTCTGTCCAATGCGCAAATACTTGAAATCGGCGCAAATGGTCCAAGATTAAGCAACTCATCTTGAAGCGGTATTAAAATACGGGATACTTGCGTACGCATATACAGATATAACATCAGTCATGCAACTTGATGCTAAAGTGAAACGATTATTCAGAAGGCATCAAAGTTTTCAGCCACACTTTTCAAGAAAAGTATTTCTTAGATAATAGGGAGGTTCAAAATTTTTTAAAGGTTTGACAACCCAATTGAGTGAATTTACATAGTTAAACTGCTACTTTTTCTTAAAATGTTTTTCTTTAGTTTTCTGTACTTCGATCATAAGTTTTGGAATATCGAGCACGTACTTATCTTGCTATGGGCGCGTAACGCTAGACTACCTTTTCTGCTTGAGTCGCTTGAAAACAGACATAAGGTCTAATAGCGTCCTCCCAGTCTATTGTCAGCCATTATGTTTGCTTATTCTTGGTTTATATAAAGTTCTTGGTTCAAATAAAAGAATATCAATTTTTATATAAAAAGTTGAAACTCTTCGAAATTTTCAGGCGCAGCACTGGCAGATGCTCATGCAAGACTACAGCTACATCATTGCCGACTTGGTTAGCACTCAATACAAAATTGAAATTGATTATAAGTTGATTTTAAGTTTAAATGTGACTATATAACAGAACGTTTAATTAGTTGATTGAAGTATAAATTGCCATTAAGAAGTTCAAATTATTTTAAAAGAAGGTCGCCAAGATAATAAATTAACTTGTGCTGTGGTTTAGCGTATGCCGTGTGGTAAAGTTCAATTTGACATCAGTGGTAGGATCAACATCATCTGTTTCCAACTCATACAACAGACACAGTCAAACTTCGAGGCATTCGAGCAAAGGTGGAGACAGAAGAACATATTCCCCCTCGACCTTACAAATCAGGTCAGCACGGGGGGTTCCCTAGTTTTTTTCTTGCTTTAACCTCCAGACAACATTTCCAAAATTTTCTGAACATTTGAACATTTCAAAATTTCTCAGAAAAAAACGTTGGGCAAGTTAGCGTAGGCTTTTCCTCTTACAATGTTTTTTACCGTAGAATCAAAAAAACCAATGGGTTTTAATATTAGCCTCGTCCATATTAGAAAGCAAACTTAAACTAAATAAAAGTGAACTTTTAGTAAAATTTAACCTTAACCCGAATTGTTGCTTGATGGTGGTGAATTAATTTTCACATAAAAGGGCAGTCTTAGGCAGTTGTGCAAAAACTATTCAATCTTACATTCATATGATTTACCAGGTCAAGTAATGCTTAAAAATTATAAATTTTTTTGAGCTTTTTTGAACATCTTGAAGAAAACAAATACTAGAAAGACAAGTCCTTCAAAAATGCTGAAGACAAATTTAAAAATTTCTCAGATTTTGGAAAACTACAAAGGGCGGCGGGATCTTAAAATTTATTTAATATGTTTCAAACTGGTAGAGATTAATGTAAAACCCTATCAGTTTCAAATGGTGGAAGGGAAATGATTTCTTTTTCAGCTGGAGACAGCACTTGCGTACGATGCCTTTTCTCTGATGAGGAAGATACTGAGCAGTTTCTACGTGGACGAGACAGACAGGTACAAGTTCCACTCCATGGCCCCCACTGTGAACAGTAATGACAAGAACAGGGGGCAGTGTCTGGGAGTGGACATCCCTCCGAATCCATTTAGACCACAGATCAGAGACATGTTCTACAAGGTCAGCACTAAAGTGGATCACTTTAAATGAATGAGTGCGAGTAATATCTCCGCCTTTCAATCTGAGGTTTTACATCTAATCGCGTTGCTTGAAGGTCAGCCATTCCCAGCGCAAAACCAAAAAAAAACAAATGCTTAAGTGCCCACAATACGAGCACCTAAATTTGAGGAATAAAAATGAGGAAAAAAGTTTTCTGCTGGTATCTTTCTAAATGAAAAATGAAGGGCCTTAGCTGTAATGGATTTTCATCAAAATTTGTTTAATTTAGGTTAAAATACCCGGAGTAACTGGGAATATAGAGTTCGACAGGGAAGGAAATCGAAAGAGCTTCCAGGTGCAGCTCCTCGACGTTGGGTTCCGCGAGGTGCACAATAGGCTGGGCAACTGGAGTGAGGCCAGTGGACAACTGATGATGGAACCGGAATATTCTAGAACAACTGATGACGCAAGTGGGCCTGAGAGCGATAGTAGTGAAGCTAATGAAAGAGCGGACATTAAGAAAAGACCGATGCGAATCACAGCAGTTCTGGTAGGTTGCAAACAGCGGGTACTGCTGGAATAACTTCTGACTGACGTACAAAAAATTTGCAAACAAACCTGAAGTGTAGAAAATAATTGTGAAACAATCATATCAGTTCAATTTCAAAATATATATGAGGAAGGCAGGCGCGGATCTAGGATTTTCTCGAGGGGGGGATTTTCAAGTTTTCAAAAAACGTCCCTAAATTTTGTCGACCTTTTTTTTTTAGGTCAACCAAAGTTAATTTCCGAGCTCTCCCAAAGCACTAAAAAGACCCTGCTTGAGTGAAAGTTTCTGCGCCGCAAGCTAAATTTTGAAAAACAGGCAAAAAAAGCGTTTTTAGGCATTTTTTGGAAAACTTTGACCAAAAAATTGCGTTTTTTCGCGCGCACTCCACCCTCAAATAGTATATTGGCCCCTGTATATGACAATTAATACTTGCTAATTGTAGTTTCATTCAGTGCCATTTGAATTGCAGAGTAAGCCATTCACGATGTTGAAAGAGGAGTTCGCTTACTTCGAAAATCAAACTTGGAAAGTGCGGACAGAACACCTGGAGGGGTTCCTGATTGACGTGATAGCACTGACCTGTTCCAAACTGAATCTGAGTTATGAGATCAGACTGGTGAAGGATGGCAGGTATGGGGCCAAGAATGCAGACGGCACCTGGAATGGCATGATAGGAGAGCTGCTCAGAGGGGCAAGTGGTATACTTAGGGCTACTTTGAGTTGAACTTTTGCTGGTCTTTTTCAATCTATTGAACCACTTGGATGGTTTGGTCATCCCTCTGGCAATTTTTTTACCAGATGACTCAAACGAAATTTGGAAAACTTTTTCTCTCAGTAATTATTTCTAGAAACATCCTCAAGTCAAAGCATGTAAACATATAAACAGGTCCTCCTAGAATTTAATTTGAGCTTCAAAATGAAATTAATGTCTCCAGGAAGCAGACGTCGCCTTAGCTCCCCTGACCATAACGTCCATGAGACTGAAAGTAGTGGACTTCACCAAGCCATACATGACACTGGGCATCTCCATAATGATGCAAAAGCCACAGAGCAGAAACGACGACCTCTTCTCCTTTTTGCAGCCACTGCACACTGAGATTTGGCTGTGTTGTATTCTGGCCTATTTCAGCGTCAGTGTCGTTCTTTTTTTGGTGTCCAGACTTTCAGCTTGCCATGGAAACGAACTGGAAGTAAGCACTACTAACACTGTAATGAAGTTAATCTGTAATCTGTGTTTATAATTATATGGCAATTTTTAAAGAAGAAAAAAAAAGTATTTCAAGGTCACTTTTCAAGTTTTCTTCCCTCATTATGTATTCAAGGTTTTTCAAGGTTTTTGTTAAATGCATCAAAACGTCGAAATCGTTTTCAAATTTGATCAACATAATCAAATTAATCGTAATTTGAAATAATAAAAAATCATCATTTTTGCTTAATGATTCGGCTATATTGATAAATTGTCAATTTTAAGGTCAAAACGATTATATTTCAACTATAAAAAAAGTAACTATTCGGCGTTAATTTGTCATTTTTCCGATTCTCGAAGTATTTTAACTTTCTTTTCAGCTCCACCCGGTAACGCATGACGACAATCGTGTGGCTTCTTCCGAGATCTACCCCTCCCCATCCTCTCTTTCCTCTTCCTGTGCCTCCTCTCAGGAACCCTACGGAATCTTCAACTGTCTCTGGTTCAGTCTCGGTTCATTCATGCAGCAAGGCGGAGACATTTGTCCAAGGTTTGTTCAAAGACTAATTAAAAATTAATTTCAAACACTCTAAATTTTAGCCCTAATTGAGACTTTTTAGCGCATAGTTTGAGCTACTCGTTCAATTGGCCAATAGTTCGATGACATGAATTTTGGTCGGGATTAGGGGTTGATCTCGGATTTTCTCGAGAGGGGCGGAAATTTTGTCGACCTTTTTTAGGTCAACCAAATTAATTTTTTGGTCTCTCTCACATTCGTATGAATGGAAAGTCGTTTTCAGGCTCTTAAAAATATTTTCAAGCTTTCAGGCTAATTTGCAACATAAAGCAGAGTAGTTTTATTGTTAGTTGAAATAAGAAAAAATTGCAGAAAAGCACGAATTATCTCATGCGTTGACATTGGCAAAAAATAGATATTGTATAAATGAATGTTCTAGGAAAACGTTAGGGTTCTGACTCACACTTTCCACAGCAGAAAAATTTTATCAAAACCCTCATCCAAGTTTGGGAGTAAATCATCGATTATAACGGATTATTATGCTGATTTTTTGACAATTATAATTGATTATAATTACCAAAGTTAGATGTTTAAAGGATTTATAATTGATTGTGATATTTTCCAAGAGATTATAATCCATTATAATTGACTATAGTTGACTATAACTGATTATCGTTCATACAAAAAACGGTTCAAGTCAATTATAATCGATTATAATCTCCTAGTTTGCCAAAATTTGTCACGCCAAAATTATTTTCCCAATAAATCCAGGGGTGATTTTTTTTCTGTCAAAAACAAATTATCTAAAAGGTTTCTTGTCACACTTTGGTTCATTCTGAGAGATTCTTCCTTATTAGTTTAAAAGTTCCCGCGGTAGGTGAAAAAAAGATCTTCCTAAAAAATCATAAAGTTAAAGCAATGTGCTGATTTTTTGGTGGTTAAAAAACTTAAAATGTGCATCATTAAACAACTTCAACGGAGAAATGAAAAAATAAAAAAGTTATAAAATAGAATTGATTTGAAAACTTTAAAAAAAATTTTTTCTCATTTTTCAGATAAACCAAAGTTTAGGAAAATCATAAAATATAAGCAATTCAGTGGCAAGGTGGGCAAACTAAAAGGAGTTTAATCGGTTATAATTGATTATTATAGATTTTTGTGAACTTCATATGAATTAAAAATTGAGATAAAAATAATCAATTACAATCAATTATAATCGATTAAAATTGTATAAAAAAATAATGGCTTAATAGTCGGTTATAATTGATTAAAATGTCTTTTAATTGATTGTAACATGATTTAAAAAGAGAAATTACAATCGATTATTAATTGATTAAAATCATTTTTTTCTCAATTTTAGTAAAAATGCTACTGAAACCATAATATAGCCAATTATTAACGCTTGAAACTGGATGCGGCAAGAACCTCTTGTCTGAAAATTATGTTAAATTTAGTTTTCCAATTTTTTTCACTGGTCTTAAAGAAAAATAAAAAATAAATGTGATTTCTTGTTGCACAATCATTATTAACACTCGTAAAAGACGTTTAACCCTTGCACGTAACAACTACTCTAAAAATTCCGTGCATTGTTATTTGATTGATGTTGAACAGTGCGTTAAGTAAATTACAAAATTTTCTGTATCCTGTTAAAAGTGAAAAAAGGTGTAAAAGTTCAAAAAATTTCCTCAAAATTGATTGAAAAGGGTCGTAATTATAAAAGAATATGTATCAATTTATTCAAAAAGTGTTCAAGTGGTCAATTCTGAGAGTAACTGCTGTGAAAGCAAATGAAGTGCGGACTCAACTTAGTTATAGCGTAATTCTTTTTTCTCCACCCCGTTTTTGAATTTTTTGACAAAGTTGGTCAAAGTTGAAAAAAAAAACTTAAAAAGTCCATCCCACTCCCTGTATTTCAAACGCACTAAAATGAAAAATGTCACGATTTTTCAATTACTATCTTACAAGGAAAATCGATTTCATACAAACACACATTTTAAACATACCCAGGTTTGGTTTTATTTAAATTTCAGTTTTTTCTAAATTGCTGAAAATGACAATTTAGGATACAACTATCTGTATGCAAATGTAATACCATTTGCAAGTCAAAATCAATTTTTTTCAGCGTTTCGTTTAAAACCTATACTTTACGTTAAGTTGATTTTCATACCAAACCCATCGCTAAGAGGTAGACTGTGTGTTAATTAACGTGGATATATCCAATTGATTGAATAATTTTTGCATTTTTATTTATTTATTGCTATTTACTTCTACGCCAAGTGCATCGTTTTTCAGTTCTCCTGGGTTAATCCTAAAACTACCTATTTTAGGAACTTAGATACAATCGTTTTTTTTGTCGTGTTTTCCAAATGATACCTGAGGTCAACTAAGTCTATCCGACACAAATAAACTATCCGACACAAATAAACTATCCGACACAACTAAGTCTATTCGACACAGAAAGTAAAAACATCTGCTCAAGGCAGACAAGACATTCATTCCTTTTACTCTGTTGTAAACGCTTATATTACATATTGAGCTCAAGGCATCAAATGTGATGAAATTGAGATGAAAAACGAGATTTATCCGGACAAAAAACCACTGCGAGAACAAATAATCCGTCATTGCTTTCAAAATACCGTAAATATGCTTACATGATTTGCCAAACATGTTTGCTCATGTAACAAATGAGAAAGCACTATAAAAATTTTAAAAATTTCATCTTCTGTTTTTTTTATTTGAGAGATATACGGAGAAGCATTTAAAAAGCATTTCGAGCATCATCATTTTGTTACTTTCTTCAAAATACGAAGACAGTAACAAAATTATGATGCTCGAAACGCTTTTCAAAGGCAATGGGGAATTATAAATAACCGTTTTGACAAAAATTAGTAAATTTGCAGGGCTTCAAAACTAAGACAAGTACTAGATCGTTTTCCAATTTTTCCAAGGCTACGATTTAATTTGACTCGGAATTTTTTTCCAAACTGAATTGAGGAACAAGAATTGGTCCCAGTATTGCTTTACTGGATTGAAAATATATGTTTCTGCAATTGACATTGCGTATGGGTTAAAAAACGGGGACCGACCTTTTACCAGACCGACTTCTTACCAGAAAAGTTATAACATGAACCTTTTACCAGACTCGATAAACAAATTTGATTGACAGATGTAATGACGCCGTTTAGTCTGGTTAAAGACAAAGATTTCACGGTTTCTCAACAAGTTTTGTTTGTTCTAACCGCTTCCTTTTCAAATCTTCCACTAATTTTAACTTATACTAATTGAGTTATTGCATTGTGGTCTGGTAAAAGGTCAGTCTGGTAAAAAGTCGGCCTAGTAAAAGACCTAGCCCCAAAAAAAGATCCAATTTTTATAAAATCAGTACGTTTTCAGACATTTCAGACGGAAAAATATTGAACAAAATTATATTCAGCTAAATATAGTGACATTTCAGCCAAACTACTTTTGAGACTTTTGAGTCATTTAAGATATTTGAAACACTCTAGTTTAGCTACAAATACTGATTGTCGGGCACTATTACTCTCGTGCCGAATATAAGCGCAGCGGAGCGAAGAGGAACAAGGTTTTAGTACTGGTCAATGTCGTTTGTATTCAATAAACTTCAGAATTATTGCTGCAATTGTATTTTAGTTGAATTATCTTCGGCCGAATCATCTCTATATTTTGGCTGAAAAGTCTCCTACTGAAATATTGAGGCACTTTTTAATAGAATATTACTTTCGCGCATGTCAATTACAGCTACTATTGTAAAATTTAACAAAAAATAAGTCAATTTGAAATCATTTTTAGATAATATTAAAATTTAAAAATTCATTTTTAGTTGAATCTAAACTTTAATTTAATTCCCTAGTATCTTTTGATTTTACAATTAAACAAGACTGCTTGTATCAGGGCGAAGCCCTAAATGTTTTGACTGCCTTTTGAGAACTATCAAGCAGTAATAACATGAAAAAAAAAACAAATGTAATAAAATAAAAATTAAAAAATATGCATTTAAAAATTGGAGATTTTTTTGTTAAAATCATCCCCCACATGTCATATAGTGATACATTTTGCCCCACAAGTACAAAGTGATAGATTTCGCTCCTAGTTACAAATCATTTATGGCAACTAAGCTTCCTTCAACCAATATGGAACCATTTCTAAGACGGATTAAAACTCTGCGGAAATATATCACGCGTTAATTGTCCCAAACTGGCCAAAATGGCAATTTTCAAACCCCTATAACTTACAAAAATAATCACAGGTAAAATATCCTTTCAATTTTAAGCTCAGAACAACAATACTTTTTGAATGATAAAAAAATCTTCAAAAATGGCTAGTTAAAAAGTCAAAATTTGTCTGAAGAAGAAAAATCACCCCGAGCACAAATATTCCATTTCTTTCTAATAGACTAGTTTTGTTTTCTGAATTTACGATTTTGCTTGCACCTGGGTTTGAACTGGCCTGATTTGAGCAACATTTAGATGTTTAGATAAAAATTAAACAAGTATTCAGCATTTGTGCTTCTCATTTGCAATGCCATTTTTTTTACTATTCAGAAACTTGTTCAGGTAAGTCGTCACAAAAACGTTTTTCGAACTAATTGATTTGAACTGAATGCTCACTGATCCTTTTGTGCTATTCACTGACTGAAGTAATTTATCTTTGATGTCATTTTCTACGTTTTTGGTGAAGAAACTGTTTGTTATCTTACGACAATATCTTTATTTTATTCAAAATTCTATTCAAATGTTTCAGAAGCGGGTCATTGCATTGTCTCATTCCCCTCCCTCTCCCCAAAAACTCCCTTCTTTGAGCAGCCAATGGTTATAAATCTTTTTCAATTGCGGTTACAAAAAGCCTGAAATTAGTCAATGGAGTTATTCAAGGCCCTGTGCTGCTCTGTGAGCCAAACAGAATTGAGTGTTTTGTACAGAACCTTACACGGTTTGTGAAAAAAAATCAACTTAATACCTCCTCTCCCCCTCCCCCTCCCACTCCGACCTCTCACTGTTAAGGAGACATTAAATAGATCGAGTGTAGGTCTTTTTCTGCCCCATCCTCTCCCAAACCGTCCCGTATCCCCCCCCCCCCCCACCTCGCATTGTTAAGGAGACATTAAATACATTAAATAGCTGGTGTATAGGTCTTTTTCTGCTCGATTGGTGGCGTGTTCGTGGTGGTTCTTCACCCTCACCATCATCAGCAGCTACACTGCCAACCTGGCCGCCTTCCTCACAGTGGACAGGATGAAGAGTCCCATCACGGGCGCGGAGGACCTGGCCTCCCAGACCAAGATAGAGTACGGCACTCTGGACCAGAGCTCATCTCAACTATTTTTCCAGGTCCACCTATTTAAAAATGATTTTATAAAAATCAGTATGACAGTTTTTCACATTTTTACATACCACTTGTCAAAGAAGAAGAAGAAAAATAAGAAGAAATTAATCAAAGTTCATAATAAACCACTACTTTTTTGTAAAATATAACTTAACACAGAGGGGAACTCGACAGCAGAAGCGACCAGAGCAGCTGTTCTGCTATTTTTTACCCAATTTGATTATCAACGAAAAAACGGAAACGTGCAGACTCTTTACAAAGATCCGCTGCTGTGATTTTGATTGAAACCTAAATCAGTACTTTAAAAGAGAACGAATTGCAGGGACATGTTTCGTATTGGTAGTGAAAAGTTATAGCGAATATTGTTAGTAATTAGACCGACTATTTGCAATACATGTAGAATAGATGATGCATTTTCAAAAGCGTTCGGCCTCTAAAAAGTGTTTTCGAAAACGCTTTTTTTTTGTTGCAGAGATCTTCAATCGGAACTTACCAGCGAATGTATCTCTTCATGCAAGAAAGAAATCACTTCACGAAATCCGTAAGTGATTTTTAATTTCACGAGTGGTCCTGTATATAGACTAAGCTCAATCATCAGTTTTATATTTGTACAATATTGCTAATCTCTAAGAGCACAAAAAATATTTCAGCAAAAAAAAAGAAACACAATAAAGAAAAAACGAAAAATTTATCTAAATTGAGCATGTGAGTGATGCTCCTGTTAAGACGGCAGAGGGCGTGCAGATGGTGCAGGAGAATCCCAACTTCGCTTTTCTGATGGAGAGTGTGATGATGGAGTACTACAACCACCTGCAGCCCTGCTCGACGTTCAAAGTGGGACCCAACCTCAATGTCATCAACTATGGACTGGCCACACCTAGAACGTCGCCATACTTGTAATTTAATAAAATCATTTATGGATGGGTAAAACAGAGGCGAATCGAAATTAGCAAAGGCGTAAATGCACTTAAGTTTCGATCGACTCGACTTTATGTTTCGACTTTGTGCTCGACTTTATGTTTCGACCGACTCGACCTAATATTTATTTGGCATGATTTTGACTATATGTCAAAGTCAAACTCCAAGACGCATTCGAACCACCTCGGCCGAAACACAAATATTAAGTCTCAACTCGGGAAGACGCATAGTTATAATCTAACTAGCAGTAATTTGGAAAGTAAAAAAAAACTTCTTTTTAAAAATGTGATATCTTAAAAAGCAGATTTTTTTGAAATGGCGGGAAGCTGTTAGACAGAACCCACTATAGGTTACGACGTGCACTCAACAAATTTAATTGTGCTGCAGTCTTTTGATATAATGAGCACTGCACTAGCATTAGTAGTCTCATACATTGAAACGCTGAATTTTAACGCAAATCAGACGCAGGCAATTCTGAGCCATCTATCTCCATTGATCCAAACTTAATTAGTTTTTGCAGTATTAGATCATTGCTAAGTAAGAGTTACCAAGGATTCTGCGTAAAATCGAAGAAAAAAATGGGATTCCTTTTTGTTTAAAAAAACACGGTGATATTTGTTTTCGCTTCTCTGAGATCTGAAAAAGAATCTCATTATTACAATTCATGCTATAAAAAGTTGGTGCAGAGGCAATGTGAGGGTAGGTTGAAAGCAATAGGTAGATGTTGCTGCGCATCTGGTTAGAAGCATATGTTTGCACAAACATTTTTGCCGTATTTTTTTTTTGAATTTGTAATGATCAGTAAAAACCGAAGGGTGAAAATAGTACTGGGGCAGTATTGAATCATTACTGATATGATACCACAGTTCTGTTTTCAGTTTTGTCTTTGAAACGAGCTAAATTGGCGCTGACCCAGAACTGGTACTTTACTACTGTTTTTCTTTTGTTGCAATATTGAAACTGAAATCAATTTCACTCCCCATTGAACCGGCTTACCAATAATTTTTCTTAAAATTTGCATAAGTGTGAAAAAGTGTCTTGTTTTAGTCTTTTTTAGTGTCGACGAACAAAATCAAGACATTTGTTCAGAGCTTGTGTTTTTTCTTAATCAGGTAAAATGGAAGAGTTTTGATGCTCAAAATTTTTGTTCCAACCATTTGAAAATGGGAAGGAACTTTATTTTCGGGTGTGTTTTCTTTTTTTTTCTAGCAAAATCAGCTACCACAAATAATCATCGGAGAAAGCAACTGAGTGATACATATTTTAAAATTCCAGTCTCAGTCTTGATTTGAACAACATTAAAAAACTTTCAAAAACTTTCCCATTGTCGAGAAAAACCGGTTTGAAACTTGTGATTCTTCGTCTCATTTTGAGTGAGCAGTGGATTACAATAGTTTATTTTATAAGCTTAAAATCTTACCATTGCTTAAATTAGGCGGTCAAAACTAGGCGGTCAAAATAACGCAACAAATTTTCTGCAACATAGAAAACACACCCTTTATAGTCGGATGTGCTTTCTTTTTTTTCTAGCAAAATTAACTACCACAAATAATCATCGGAGAAAACAACTGAGTGATACACATTTTAAAATTCCAGTCTCAGTCTTGATTTGAACAACATTAAAAAACTTTCAAAAACTTTCCCATTGTCGAGAAAAACCGGTTTGAAACTTGTGATTCTTCGTCTCATTTTGAGTGAGCAGTGGATTACAATAGTTTATTTTATAAGCTTAAAATCTTACCATTGCTTAAATTAGGCGGTCAAAACTAGGCGGTCAAAATAACGCAACAAATTTTCTGCAACATAGAAAACACACCCTTTATAGTCGGATGTGCTTTCTTTTTTTTCTAGCAAAATCAACTACCACAAATAATCATCGGAGAAAACAACTGAGTGATACACATTTTAAAATTCCAGTCTCAGTCTTGATTTGAACAACATTAAAAAACTTTCAAAAACTTTCCCATTGTCGAGAAAAACCGGTTTGAAACTTGTGATTCTTCGTCTCATTTTGAGTGAGCAGTGGATTACAATAGTTTATTTTATAAGCTTAAAATCTTACCATTGCTTAAATTAGGCGGTCAAAACTAGGCGGTCAAAATAACGCAACAAATTTTCTGCAACATAGAAAACACACCCTTTATAGTCGGATGTGCTTTCTTTTTTTTCTAGCAAAATCAACTACCACAAATAATCATCGGAGAAAACAACTGAGTGATACACATTTTAAAATTCCAGTCTCAGTCTTGATTTGAACAACATTAAAAAACTTTCAAAAACTTTCCCATTGTCGAGAAAAACCGGTTTGAAACTTGTGATTCTTCGTCTCATTTTGAGTGAGCAGTGGATTACAATAGTTTATTTTATAAGCTTAAAAGCTTACCATTGCTTAAATTAGGCGGTCAAAACTAGGCGGTCAAAATAACGCAACAAATTTTCTGCAACATAGAAAACACACCCTTTATAGTCGGATGTGCTTTCTTTTTTTTCTAGCAAAATCAACTACCACAAATAATCATCGGAGAAAACAACTGAGTGATACACATTTTAAAATTCCAGTCTCAGTCTTGATTTGAACAACATTAAAAAACTTTCAAAAACTTTCCCATTGTCGAGAAAAACCGGTTTGAAACTTGTGATTCTTCGTCTCATTTTGAGTGAGCAGTGGATTACAATAGTTTATTTTATAAGCTTAAAATCTTACCATTGCTTAAATTAGGCGGTCAAAACTAGGCGGTCAAAATAACGCAACAAATTTTCTGCAACATAGAAAACACACCCTTTATAGTCGGATGTGCTTTCTTTTTTTTCTAGCAAAATCAACTACCACAAATAATCATCGGAGAAAACAACTGAGTGATACACATTTTAAAATTCCAGTCTCAGTCTTGATTTGAACAACATTAAAAAACTTTCAAAAACTTTCCCATTGTCGAGAAAAACCGGTTTGAAACTTGTGATTCTTCGTCTCATTTTGAGTGAGCAGTGGATTACAATAGTTTATTTTATAAGCTTAAAATCTTACCATTGCTTAAATTAGGCGGTCAAAACTAGGCGGTCAAAATAACGCAACAAATTTTCTGCAACATAGAAAACACACCCTTTATAGTCGGATGTGCTTTCTTTTTTTTCTAGCAAAATCAACTACCACAAATAATCATCGGAGAAAACAACTGAGTGATACACATTTTAAAATTCCAGTCTCAGTCTTGATTTGAACAACATTAAAAAACTTTCAAAAACTTTCCCATTGTCGAGAAAAACCGGTTTGAAACTTGTGATTCTTCGTCTCATTTTGAGTGAGCAGTGGATTACAATAGTTTATTTTATAAGCTTAAAAGCTTACCATTGCTTATATTAGGCGGTCAAAAATTGGTTTTTCTCGACTAAAGTTAGTTTTTTTTTATTGTTTTAGCGCTTTTTTGAGTATCTTAGCACTTTCCTATTCCTAGCCGAAAATACTCGACTTTCCTATTCTATAAAACCCTGCATATAATCTCTAGATAACCAGCATACACTCAGTATATAATCTTTATGAAGTGCAAAATTCGTATAATTTGTAGATAATCTGTATAAAACCTGTAGAGAACCTATATATAACCAGTAGAGAATCTGTAGAAAATTTATTTTAAATTCACTTGAAAGTGATTATATTGTTCAAAAACTATACGATTGATAACGATTTCACTTTTAATAATCCTTGGTTTAAATTTGAGATTTTTTCTACAAAGTTTGGCAAAAAGATGAAACCAGAAAGTTATTTATCAGTGTTATACTGATACTGTGCTGAATGTTTTACTCCCGCGGTAAGAAAGTACTTTTGTGCAAAGTATGTTCAAATTCCTTCTATAAGATGAACCTTTTTAGCGAAAATAGGCAAAAAAAAACATAGCCAATAAATTTTAAAAATTAGCTTAGAACAATTAGTTTTTAGTGCAAGATATTCCTACGTTAATTAATTCAATAAATTTTTTCAAGACTAAACACCAGCACAAAAAGTTATTTGAAAAATGTAAATTATAATAGCCTTTCATTATACTTATTTCATCTGATGGTTGAGCATGCAGAAAAAACCAGTTTATCATCTGTATAAAATATGTATGTAGTCTGTACAAAATCTGCATATAATCTTTATAAAATCTGAATGACAATGTAAAAAATCTATAAATAAATTAGATAATCTGCATATAACCTGTAAACGATCTTTTTTGTGTGTGCAAGAAATTTGATAGCGAAACAAAAGTTTCAGAGTGTTTTGGCAAGGAAAATATAATGAAGACAAACAGTATAAAATTTTTGCAAGACAAAATGCCTTGGAGTCGTTTATTAAGTATTTATATGTATAACTTATCGAAGTTAAACTATAACAAGACTACTCGTATCAGGGCAAAGCCCTGAATGTTCCGACTGCCTTTTAACGTATATGGAGCAGAAATAACATATAAAAATTAACTGTAATAAAAAAAAAATTTCTAAAATTTGAAATTTTTAATGCAAATCATCCCCCCACACTCCATATAAAGTAAAAAGTGATAAATTTCGCTCCTAGTAGCAAATCAATTATACAAGTAAGCTTCCTTCAATTTGGAACGATTTCTAAGACGGATTAAATCTCCGCTTACGCGTTAACAGCGGGAAATATATCGCGCAATAATTGTCCCAAACTGGCCAAAATGGTAATCTTTAAACCGCCATAAATTTACCAAAAAAGATCACAGTTAAGATTTCTTTTCAAATTTAATCTCAGGATAACAATATCTTTCGAATGATATTTTAAAAATCCCGTCAAAAATGGCTAGTTAAAAAGTCGAAATTTGTCTGAAGAAAAAAAAACCCACCCCGAGCACAAATATTCCGTTACTTTCGTATCGAAAGTCGGAACACTAAGAAAATAATTAGTTTCAATAGTTTAGTTTAGGTAAAATAGCAGCACTAAATTAATGAAAGCATACATCAAAACTTCCATTTGCACATATTAGCTGATAGGCGAGAATTCTGAGAAAATCAGTGTATAATTAGATATTAATCTGTATATAAACTGAATATATTCTGCACTTATTCTTTAATAGTCTGTGTATAATCAGCAAATCGTTCCGTTTTTAATTAGTTTAGAAAATGTATACAAGACTGCTCGTATCAGGGCGAAGCCCTGAAAGTTCCGACTGCCTTTGAACGTTTATGGAGCAGAAAGTCGAAAGGTAAAAAGTCGAAATTTGTCTGAAGAAAAAAAAACCCACCCCGAGCACAAATATTCCGTTACTTTCGTATCGAAAGTCGGAACAAAAACAGTAAACAACAGATCTGAAATCTGTATATTTTCCTTCAGATAATCAATTTTTACCATTTTTGTCTGTGCGGTTGAAAATCGATTCCCAGTCTAAATACCTAGAAAAAGGCTTTGATGAAAAACAAAACAAAAAAATGCTTCAAAAAATTTCGATGAAGTAAAAACTGCAACGTTGAATTTGGTCAACTACTTGCTTAGATGTTTTTCTAAGTTTTATGTTTAAAGTATTTGCAATTTTGTTACCACAGGAGCATCCTGACAATTGCCATTTTGGAGCTGCAAGAGAAGAATGAGATCTACATGTTGAAGGCAAAGTGGTGGTACAGAAACAGTCCCTGCTCGACCATCACTGGAGCACAGCCGGTATTATCAATGCTGCATAATTTCTTCATCAGTAGCGTGCAATGATAAAATACGACGATGACTTGGTAGCTCGCGATGGTAAAATTAACATAAAATTTTCATCACTCGATGGTCTGAATAAAAGGTTGGCAGAGCTTTTCTCTGAAGAGTTCAAAAGCTTCGAAACATTCAGCTATGTTGTTCTTGTCTGAACCCCAAGCATCTGATTTAATGTTGATTCTTCTTTCAAACCGCTATTCCCAATACGGTATATAGTAACGAATTTCATCCTCTTTCAAGGAGAATTTAAGCTTTACTAATTTTGCACCGATTAACGAACTTCCCGAATCTTGTTAACAATCCCCCTTGTGGTACCTAGTAAAGAATTGTCACTACCTTTAACGAACGGCGCTAGTCTACTTGTTTGATACCTAAACAAAACTAGTTTGCAGGATTGGTTCCCAATTAAATTTGTGTCACAAATGCAGTTGACCAAAATTTTGGAGCATCTGGCAGTTCTAATAGATTTAATCTAATAAATAAACAAAACTCAATAGTTAAGTAATAATTCTAATAATTAAGCAAAAATCAATCTGCCGTAAGAACAAACACCAGGATCAAGCAAAACTTCTATAGCAGGGCCGTGAAAAAAGCTTCAAGAAATAAGTGAGCCAGAGAGACTAGAGGAGAGAGGTTTATAAGATGAGCAACAACTGCGCGAAAAGCGACAAAAAGGCGGATACAAATGTTCCAATCGAACAATTCCAAGCTTCCCCGATGACTGTGACCTCAAAGGAAACAGGATCAGGGGAGGCCTGAATCAGTCAACCAAAAGAGCGAAACCCAATACGGCTATGACCAAAATCAACGGAGGGGACGAAATTACATAAAGAAACCATAATGAAGATGTCAGAGAAGACAAAATCAACAGCGCAAGTCGCAAGGAGAAAGAGAACTGCACTAACAGCACAAGAACAAAGAGGGAAGAATGACAACAAAAAACGGAAATGCCTCAACAATCGGAAAGGCAAACGAGAGAGTTCAACCCCAACGAAGTCAAAGAACTTAGGAAAAGTCGATAGGTCAATTAAACCGGAAAAAAATCTTAAACGCCTTCTTACTCCAGGTCATCTCAATAAAATAGTGGGAGGATTTAGCAGACAAGTGTTAACCAGACGGGCTCAGAAAATAGCGGAAAAAATCAAAAGGAAGCATCAACCTTGAGGAAAAAGGGACGATAAATTGTTCCACCACTATGGTCCTCAGGTAATTCAAGTCAGTAGGACACAGGCATCAGAGGAAGCTCGAGACATTGAAACGCAAAGATTCAGCATGTTCTGGTGACCCAATAACACACTCGATGAAACATATATCAACCGGGGAAGTATTTGGGGTAAACCTTGAGAAAGCTGCACTTGCAGCTTACCGAGAGAACATAGTAAGCTTCTGGAAACACGTCTTGAACTTTTTCACTGGACTTCTTGGACTTCTTCTTGGGCTTCTTCACTTGAAACACGTCTTGGAATTCTTAAGCGATCAAGAGACTCCATGATACCCGAGTTGGAGAGGTCAACTGGAGGGGGAATGAAACAATTATGAATCAGAGAAAATTTTGCAATTGAACTGAATAACTCCTGTTGTTAATATCCTGCTGTTATACTTTTAAAAAATTTCCTGTAAAACGGATAATGTAATGCTGCTCTAGCAGTAATCTTGGTTAATAATGCTATGTAAGAATGTATCACGTTATACCAAGGTCACTGATTATCATATTATATATGCAGCTGCATTATAAAGTATGCAATTTGCTACAGCTATGACTCAGCTGAGAACAGAGAAAAAGTTTCAGTTGGTAACTGAATCATTACTAGACAATAATTAATTCACACCTAAGAAAACTCCTCAGGTTATCACATATCCGATCTCAGGGACCGACCTAGGATTTTCTCGAGGGGGGGGGGGGGGATTTTCAATATAATTTCGAAAACGTTGTCAACCTTTTTTAAAAACGACCAAAATATTTTCTGAGTTCTGCCAAAGCACTAAAAGAGCACTAGGTCGAGTTTTTTAGCGCCGCAGCCAAAATTTTGGAAAACATGCCAAAAAACGCGTTTTGGGCACTTTTTGGAAAATTTTGAGAAAAAATCTTGTTTTTTTGGCGCGCGCTTCCCTCTCAAACTTAGTGTAATTTGGCGCCGAAGCCACCTTTCGAAAAATTTTAGGGTCGGTCAGCCAAAAAGGGATATCTCAAAACAGTACAAAGGGGGACCCTTTGGGTCGGGAGGGGGTCGAAACGAATCCCTGAAAAAGAAAGCGTCCGCCCCAAAAATTTGAAATTCTTAAATTCGCCCCTGTTCGATCTTCATAATCTGTAACAGTTGATTTAAAATGGATAACAATGCTACTTTCTACAGCAAAAAAAAATGAATTGGTTACATCCGATTGTCATGGGTTTTTTTGTTACATAATTACAAAAATTTTTTTACAGTGTAAATCCATTAGAATGGATTATAATGCGGGTTAGAATATTTTTCAGATAAGCCTTAAATATCATAATACACTATTATAATAATTAGAACATCTTTAAATTGAGACTAACGTGTGAACATCTATAAATTGCTTGTATATTAGTCTTTTAAGAAAATGCAGTATTTTTCTGCATTACTCACATGGACTTTCGAATCTCCCGTAAAAAAAAGATAAGTCGCTTTCCCAATTGGATGGCTAAAATAGTACCTAAGGGGACCCTTTGAAGGACCACGGAGTCAAGTTGCCAGTGAAATGCCCGACTCGCCCCTCTAAAACTGAAACCCTCTTGGGAGATATGTCCAACTTTATGATGCAATTTACCTTAGGCTTTTATCTTATCTATTGGCAAAGTTTTCAGGCTTTTCTGCATTACTCACGGACTGTACGTTAATTTCGTAATTTCCTGTAAAATATATTTTAAACCTCCAATCCAATGGACCAATCCCTCGTTCCGAATAACCAACATCCCTCCTCTCACACGTCACACACAATTATCCCCCTCCCCCAAACTTACAGGGTCGTCATTTTGAGAAGGAGGGGAGTTAAGTTTGGAAGTAAAAGGGAGTAAGTCGGGTTTGGTAGGGGGGGCGTGTTATGTTCGTAAGTATGAAGGAGGCGGTAAGTGCTTTGGTTAAGTATTGGGGTCAGCTCAGTATGGGTAGCAATTGTTGTAGTTTAGCGGCGTATGGATTGTGATAAAAATGTGAGGGGAGAACTTAGTAGGTTTAGCAATCGAAAAAAAGATCCTGCAAATTTCGAAAACAAACCTTGGATTTGAAACCCTCGTAATGGGTTTTAAATGATATAATCGATATAATTTTTAAAAATCTATTATAATGAAATTGAAATCCTAAAAACTCAAGTGCTAAAACTGTTATTATAATCTCAATAGAATTACTTTATCTATGCATTCAATTGCACTCGATTATATCTCGTCTGCGGGTATTCTCGATAATTTTTAGTTGTGGCCAAAGTCTGAAAAAAATATTCTTCGGGTGCAATAGTCTCGAGCAATGTCGCAATGTAGGCTAAATTTTGGTCCAAAATAACCTGAAAATTACTACCGGTAACTTGAAAATTACACTCGGATTTAGTTTTTAGAACGAAAAAATGAAAAAAAAAACAATGAAAAATTTCATGAGAAACAAAAACTTTTTAAAGAAAACACGCATTGCTTGGTCGTATAGCAAACAAAATCAAAATCGAATCTCATAAATTATCCAAAAAATTTAAGACTTGTTGCAAAGAAAAAATGAAATGATAGCAAACGTCACACCAGTCAAGGACTTTTTTGGTATGGTTGCCCCGGTGGCGGTTCATTTTTCCGGGGATTTCGGGGTCAAGTAACGGGTTAATTGCCCCCGAATATAGAAGAAAAATATTCTCTCAGTGAGAGGTTATCTGGCAAAAATGAAGTCCCTTTGCAAGCTCTCACCATTTTAACCTATCGCCCAATTTAGTATGCAATTTCAGGCTACTTCGGCTTCAGAAGCAGCTGCCTTGAGACTGAACAGGGTGGGGGGCATCTTCTACCTGTTAGTGGGGACCCTCATTGTCGGCATATTGGTCGCATTGGTCGAAATTCTTTACGTGTCCCTATGTCAAGCTTACTATTTTAAGGTAACATCTAGTTCCTCGAATTCTTCCTTATTTTTCTTGCCAAGTTTTGGAAAAATTGCAGGAAAAATTAATCATAATATTTAGAATAAACCTTTTTATTTCGAAGTGAATTTTTTGCAGGCACCATTTATCACAATGATTAAAGCGAATGTCAGACTGGCTGTCATGTCAAAGTTCAATTTCCCCGGTATGAAACCGACACCTCTCCTTCACCTGCAGCCCCCTTCGCAAATCCCCCTCAACCAAGAGAAACCCTACCCTTACAGTCTGAGTGTGAACAGAAGGGCGATTGAGAACGACTTCAACTCTGGAGGGGATAGTTTTGACCTCACAGAAGGTAGCAAAGGGTCGGATACTTCTACTTTCAAAAGGAGGATCAAAGTAAGTATTACGGGAGTAAACCAAACACTAATATCCTCATTTCTAAAGCGCTTTAGTGGGGGTGGGGTTAGTAATTTGGTTCCAAGTTGGATTTTTCATCACATAGAAAACAGTGGTCAACACCACTAAAGATTAAGCAATTAAGACCATCTGAACAGCCCCCCTCCAAAAAACTGATCTAGGGGGGAGATTGTTTACATGGTTGTTATTTCATGACTTGTCTTTTGTTTGTTAGACGGGGGAGGTAGTTCACGTAGTCGACAAGGGAGGTGGATAATTGTTTACAGGAGCCAGCAAATATAATGTAAAAATATATTTAAGTGAAAACGAAGTAGCAAATCTTAGTTTTCAGCCGATTAAATGAACAGATTTTTTTTGCGTTTTGACGTTTTCTCTGCTTTGAATTGAAATTAATGGCTAAAACATTAAGATCAAATCTTAGGAACACTTGCGGCGAGCCTTGTTTGAATGACCGAAGAACGCATTGATGAGAACAAATGTTTAGCTGTGGTGCAGTGTCAATTCTGCGCACATTGTTACGTCATACTTATTCTAGTCAGTTGTTTCACAATATGACCTTCTTGAATAAGTTTCCGTATTTCCTCTCTGACCTTCACCTGAATATGAGCTGGGACCTGTCTGCCTTTCTCTTGAATTGGGATAAGCTGCGATTTGAATGTGGAGAATAGTTGATGGTTCTTCGCTCTGCCGATCCGAGAAAAAACATGACTAAACTTCTTTTTGTACTGCGATATCCAGAATTGAGACGTTTCACTCGATTCCGATTGGGAAATTACGCCCACCAGTGGGATAGGCGGTCTTACTTGCGTCAGCGGAAGCACCAACTGAGAGTGCAGATCCAATTCCAGCAGACAAAGAGTCCGGTTCTCCGAAATGAGGAATTTTGCTGACTTCACGTTCCAGCCCAAAGATGATACGTTCACTATCAGAGTGCCAAACAGGTGGTTACGTTTCGGGTTATAGTTGACGTACACCATATCTATCGGACATTCCTTCTCATCTAACACAACCGCTGAAGGCACTGATTTCGCGATATACTCCGCTGTTCGTTTATTCACAAAAAAGGCAGGACCACCCGTATCTACAGTGCCTTTAAAAAAGTTTGATTTCACCCAAGGGTGATTTGGATAGAGCGTAATTTACCTGCAGGTGCATTGACTACTTCCAAAATTTTCACAGTGGGAGACAATTTTCCAAAATGTCTGGCTGGGAGACCCCGTCGACAGCAAGTACTGCAAACTCTGATTTGCTATCAGAAGTAATGAAGTTGCAGCCCTCCTCAGTAGTTTCGTCTGATTCCCCGTCCATATTGGCAACGCTTTCAGAGTTGCAACATTTCGCAAAGAGCCCCTTTTTACTGCAATTGCTACACGTTACGTTCCTTGCCTGACATATTTGCTTACGGTTGGCAGTGAATTTGATTCCGCAGAAATTGCAAGGCTAAGCGTCTTTGGAATTGTTACCCCTTTCGACCGACTAAAGTTTGACTGAGCTCGATTGATTCTTCCGACAATTTCCGACACCGAGTAGGTAGGTGCTTGCTTAATCCGAAAGTTTTGAGCAGAACGAGGGCCCTGATGGGACAGGCTGCCCGCCACTGACGAAGATCCCAGTTGTTTTTGTAAACAGGTGGCTGTCTGGGCCCCCTTCTCCTGTAGTAAAGCAGACTTCAGAGTTTCTTCTGGAGTGTTGCCGGGACGAAAACATAATTCTCGTGGAATGTCTTTATAGCGCATTTTGGCAATTAAAATAGCCCTCACTACTTCTTTTTCTTGATCTACTGACCAGCCACACAGTGCTGCCTGACCCGTAAGACGCAAGTAGAAGGCTTCCAAACTCTCACAATCAGCGTGGACTGCGATGTATATTTGTAGACGTTCGATGATATAGTTCTTCTCCTTCTTGAATAAAAGAACACAATTATCATGAAACTCTTTGAACGTGATGGCATTAAGGTCTGCGTGTGGATAAATTTGAAGAAAACGTTTCCTGCCTTCGGAACCCAGAGGAAAGAAAAGTATATATTTCATGCGTTGATCTGCCACATTAAAGAAAACACCAGGTACGATTCTGGTGCCTTTCGCCCTTCGTTCTTTATTAGTTTCATCGACTCTTCGAACAGCTGCCTCGTCTCTTGCAATTCGGTTGGCCGTCGCAGTCGCATCCTCACTAAACCCGACAGCTTCTGGCTTTGGGATCGGATCGTCGTGAACTACTGTTCACTTTGGGATCGGATCGTACGTGATGGCAAGATTGAATTGTCCTATCCATGAATCCCAGCTGCTGGGCGGGTCGGACGTTGGCTAGTGCCACAATACTGGCACTCCTAATAGGTTCGTCCGAGAAGACCTCGAGATTGGAACTGCTGGCTGCGCCATGTTGTATCTCAGAATATTCAGATAAAACTAATACCAAGACTCAATTCATCTTGTGTATATAAATATGTAAATAAGCAAGTATATAAATAATGTCATGACAAATAAATTATATCGACTTAAATCTTACATAAGCTGACAAGAGATTGAGAAGAGATTTCTATAAAAACTTAACCACGGTTTGACAAGTCGATTGACAAGTATGACTTAACAATGGGCACAGAATTGACACTGCACCACATTAGCTAGATCCTTTCAAATAGATGCATATGATAGGTGCATCTATTTGAAAGGATCTAGCTAAACATTTGTTTTCATCAATGTGTTCTTTGTTCACTCAAACGAAACTCGACGCAAGTGTTCCTAAGATTTGAACTTAGGACTTTAGTTAGAACCTCAAAAACCTTCTCTTGAATAAAAACACATAAAAATAGCTGGAATTGCAGGCTAAAGTTGCAGGAATTGCAGGCTACGAAATTTCTTGAACCTTTGTGCTAAATGTCTACATCGTGAGTTAGTTCTTGCTTCATGCCAGTATTTCTTAAGTTTTTCTAAATAATTCTTCTTTGAGGATCTAGCTGACACACTAAGCTTTTCAACGATTTTTTTTTGAGTAAAAACTCAAACTATTAGCGTTGTTCACGATGATTTTTTGATGCCTAAAACAAGTGTCTGACAAAATTTAATTGAATGACTGAAAAACGTTTTAAAAACAAGTCTTTTGATCTATTTTTGATCGAACTATATTTTGAGTAGTTTAATCTTTTATACGTCAAAAATTCAGCCATTGTTTTCAAGTAGTTACAAACAAAATTTCGAAAATACACTTTTTTTCATTACATTTCATCGGTTGAAAAGTAAAAGTTAAGCTTTCTTGGTGCCGCGGTTGTCAATATTTTGGTGAACAATCTTTTCTGACGAAAACTGATTGATTTTTGCTTGCGAAAAGCTACAAAATTTGCAGGTTTTCTCGTAGCCATCGCAAATTTTTTGACTTTTTTCAGACTATTTTTGATTTTGCATCAGCCAAGCAGCCAAACATTTACTTGAACTTTAGTTGCCTTTTAAAGCATTTAAAATCAGGTAACAAATTCCACAAGTTGATCAAGGGAGGTTATCTTGCCTGATCTTGCAATATAACTTCTTTTGATCGACTAGGGTCAAAAATGACTGCTAAGAAGATCAAAGCAGTATAAATTTTGCTATATGTTTTCTCAGACCGCTGCTAAAATGAACTTCGAGACAACTCGCAACAAAAGACAACTCGTACGAAAGCAAATAATTTAATTTAGCAGACGTGAAACGCGCAAAATGCGACAACCCACAATAAAATTTTTAATTATCCTAATTTTTGCCTGAAATGAGGTCCATGTTTCATGTATTCAATTCAAAGCTATTACTGCGGAGAGATCTTGTGTAGATTTTTTATAAAAATTGGTTTTGAAACTTCGATATAAGTAATTAGAGAAGCGCACAAACTGAAACTTTTTCCGGGTCGATGTGCTCATTATTTGTGCTCAACCAAAAAAGAAAAGTCTAGACAAGGGTTTGGGTCGAGCACAAAGTCCCGTGAGCAAATCAAAACTCGGTCGAGCAGGGGTGGCCACATATTGCGAGCACGGCCGAAACCAGTGGCGTGCCGAGGGGGGGGGCGACTGCCCTTCTTCCCTCAATTTTGGTTGCCAAATTTTTCCAAAGTGTTCCCCATTTGGTATAACTTTATGACATCCATTATATGCCAAAAACCTCAAAATTGTTCTAAAGGCGTCTTCGGCCCCAATATGACTATATTTGAGGGGGGAGCGCGCGCCGAAAAAAGCCTTTTTTCGGTCAAAATTTTTCGAAAAGTGCCTAAAAACGCTGCCTTTTTGGCCTGTTTTTTGACAAACTGGTCGAAACTTACCAAATTTTGATCGAGCACCGTTGAAACATACCTCGAGCACGGTCAAAATATACTCCAAAAACGGTTGAAATATAGCAAATTTTTTTCAAAAATTTTTCTGTTACTAACCTTTTTGACTCAAATTGAAAACTGGGTTGACAAACAGATGCTATTTTAGAACTTCTTAAATAAAAATCTTTCAACTTCCTGCACAATAAGGTTATAAAAATTCTACAAGATGGGAACTTTTTTTAGTAAGAAAGTTGTACAATAATTTTTTGCTCGTTTTTTTAAAGGTTTCATCAGAAAATTTTTACTCGCACAAATTGAAAAAAAAGCGAAATTTGTTCGATTTTTTTTGGAATTTTGGTAAAATGTTCCTAGCTTAAAGCTCTTCTTATAAGAGAATTGTAAGATCAGTACGAGTCCAAACTGTGCACTAGATAGGCGCTCATTTTGATGTCTATATCTTCCTGGATTCCAGAGACAAATCTTTAAACATGTTCCAAAACGTAAGTGGATTCAATTTGCAAAATCTGTAACGTAACTGTAGCGTATATTTTGTCGGCTCTTTTGTTATGTCGTTGATTCCGCAACAAGCGAATACAGCTAGTTGTTTTCGAGTCCGCAACTGTAAGTGGATTCTGCAAAATGGCAAATATAAATGGAATCCGCAAATGTAACGCAAAAATTGTAAGCGGAATTCCCAAAGGTCAGCGAAACTTGTTTATTACTGATTTTTCTATATGAAAAATTGAACGCTAGAGCTGGAAATTTTATCTTTAGCAATGAAGAATTTAAAATCAAGGAATTACCGATTGTCATCGCAATTCACATCAAATCTTAAAATATTGGTGAACTACATCGAATGAAACAACCCTTGAGTGTTTAGGATACATATCCCAGCTAGCAACGTTTGGGACCATAATTTTGGAAACACAACACCGAATAAAGTCATTGTTTGGGGTTAATGTGTTGCAAGTGTTTGTAAACAAGACGCACATCATATAAGTACATGTTTATTTATAAGTACATGTTTGCTGCATTCCATAAACTGTTCCGAATTCCGCGTTTTCAATTATAACTTGCGCGCTTCAGTGTTTTAGGTATATGCTTGTAGAAGCGAGAACATCAAAGAAGATAAGAAAAATAGCAATTTATCGGAATCCGCGACAAATCTGATTTTGACATGTTGCGGAATCCGCTTACATAACGGAGAATACACAGTTTTGCCTCGTAATGATAGGAAAGTTTTCTTAGAGATCTAAAAAGAAGTTCTGTGACCGGGGAATTTTTTGTAGGATGATTAACCAGGATGAACCATCAATAAGATGAAAAAAATAGCTCAAAAACTGCGCACTTCTGCAAAGCATTCAAATTGCAACTAGCCCAATATTTTCATTCTGATAAAAAATCATGGTATATTAGCCAAAAAAGATAATTTATTACGTTTAAGTTTGGATAACTAATGATAATTGAAAGTCGAAACATACCTGAAATCGGTCGAGACCATCAAAAAATATCTTCTCGTTTCGAACATTGTTTTCGGTCGAGCATGGTCAAAACATATCCTGCTTGGATCGAACGCGGTCGAGACATCTCGACATTCGGTCGAGACGGTCGAACATACCGAATATCGGTTAAAAGAAAAAAGATTAAAACAACTTGAAGATGATAACCCAAAACAACTTTTAAATCACTAAGTAATACACGTAGCATTTCTTTGTGGTAGACAGTGACAAGTGAAGCATGGACTTTTTAAAAAAACTGCCGACGCGTTTTTATCAAAATCACAGCTCAATGAATGCTCTATTTTCAGCCAATTTTGACAAAAAATGAAGATAGGGCCAGTAGCCTAGAAAAAATTCGACAAAATTCCATCCCCTTTGAGAAAATCCTAAATTCACCACTACATTGGGCAAAGCTCGTTAAAACCCTCTTGTTTTGTGAGTTTTATCCAATTGTGAGCTCTCTTGGTGTAGTTCTGGCAACCATATTGATGTTTTTTTTCCAAAAAAGTAGCTAGATGGCAGTTTGATTGCGATTCGAGTCAAGCTGAACAACCAACCACGGCCTTCTTCTCTTAATTCTTGCTTTCTTGCAGTTAGTTCACGTTTTCCTAATTTAAACTTCGAATAAATAACATCAAATGTGAAAACGCTTTACTTCAAACAATTTTGGACTATTTTATTGGCTTTAATAACTTACCGCCTGGTTGTTTCACATATCAGAAGTTATAGGAGAAAATAATATTTTCATTTTAGTTTGATACAAGTTGTCTGTTGTTGCGAGTTTTTTTAAGCTGTGAGTTCCATTTTGTTGAGGAATTGCTACAACAAAGCTAAGGAATTGAAGTGACATCCACGAAATTTGTGAGTCGTAACCAAAATGACTAGTTTGCTCAAAACTATTGACTAATTTTCAGAATCGGAAAACAAAAATTTTATCATGGCATGCTTATTGCTAAATATCATGCAAAATAATTGCAAAAAATTATTTGCATGATTTTCTTAATTTCTTTGTTCAGTTTCACGATTTTTCTTTCAGGGTGTTTCACTGAGTGGGAAGGGCGATGGAGCGGGTAAAAGTCACACCGATGTATAGATATAAACTGTAATACTCAGTAGTCGAACTGAAATTTGTTATTTATATTTAACCCTATAATTGAACAACTTACACAGATTTTTAGCAATATTGAAATCGGTTTTACTTTTTCTTAAATTCTTGTACCATAATATCATTATCATTTTGGCTTAAAGAAATTTCATTCATCACTCGATAGTGTTTACTGATTTCTTCGAATTCAAGATGATTGGAAAAACTTCTCATCGCCAGAAAATAAACCTCTCGATATTGCCATTCGTTTCTGCTTGTACTTCCAGGAACCATCAGGATTTTTTAGTTGCTGAAGTTGGCACAAAATTTCTCTTGCTTTTTGTTCCGATTACTTTCGAAAAAAGTGACGGAATATTTGGGCTCGGGGTGAATTTTTTCCAGATCAATTTTGACTTTTTAACTATCCCTTTATGGCGGAATTCTTGTGGCATCTGAAACTTTTTGTTGTCATGAACTTATAAATAATGAAATATTTTACTTGAAATTATTTTTTTTAGTAAAGATTGCCAATGTAGCCACATAAGGACATTTAACGATCACTATATTTTGTGTTAATAACGTGTAGGTGGTGAATTAATCCGGATTAGAAACCGTTCCAATTTTATTGAGTTAATCTTTTGTTTATTCTAAGTCAAAAAAAGTGTTTTTTTTTTAAAATTCATTTCCAATTTTATTGAAAAATTTCGGCTTTTTTTTAAATTTAAAAGTATCCATAAACTTTCAAGGGCATTCGGAACCTTCAGGGCGTCGCACTGATACGAGCAGTCTTCAGGGGTCGGAAAGCCAATTGGGAGATAAAATGTCAATAGCTTGAAACTTCTGTCAACTAGTATTTGAACGAATTTTGAGCTCAAATACACATTTTCCAAAAAAAATTTGCATGCAAAATTTAAATTTTTTGTGTGCATAAGTCTGGGATAGTCAAAATTTGGATTTTGTCCGTTTCTCTGCAAAAGTTTGTTCAAAAAGGCTCAAACATCCTAGTTATTTAATTTAAGCTACAAGTCTGTCTTAATCTGACACCGCATGAGTTTTTGTTCTAAAAGGCTACGAGAAACTCATTTTTAGTTCAAGACTGCTTGTGATTCAATATCACTTCCTTCATTTTACAAAAATTACTGCAATTAATTGCAATTAATTGGTCATGTTTGTCATAAGTCAGTACTTGGAAAAAATGGAAAAATGGGGGTCAATTGATTGCCCGCGGTGCAACGCCTTGAAGGTGCAACGCCCTGAAGGTTCCGAATGCCCTTTAAAATTTATGGATACTTTTCTTGATCAAAATCTGATTCATTAAGAATTCAGTTTTTGAATATGATCATCTTTGAAAAATTTGCCAAAAATTAAAGGTTCGATTCTTTCAGTATATGACTTGTGCAAGTCAATTTTTTGACTATTCAAGTCGTTTCCAATGCAGTGTAAATGCAAGACGGTCAAAGATTTGGTGACTCTAGTTTTGAGTATACCATGGTTTGTGTCACTTGTGTATCAAATTTTTTGGTTTACGGAAAAATGCTAGTCATACAACTTCCATATGTAAAAATTACTAATCAAAGAACTTTCATGCATTTTTCCGTACTATTTTATGCAATTTTTTTAAAGCGAAAGCTCAGATATAATTTTTTTCCCAAAAATTATGAAGAAAAAAAGATCTCTGTTGTTCTGTTGGTGTTTTTATACGTCGTTTTTATAGTCGATATCAAACTATAAAAAAGTTCTACTGAAAGGGCGGTTTTGAGCACTGAAATGTTCTGGAGGCAAAAACAGCGCTCGTTCAAAAGTTTCTAAAATCTGTACAATACAATTATCCATCACTACGGTGCTAATTTAAATTGTAAGAACAAAACACATTAAACTAGAAATTGAATTCTGCTGAAATTCTAAAGCAATTTTTTTCTTCATCATTTTAAATCTACTTTCAAGCCAATTTGAGAAAAACGTGGCTTAAAGTTTTAGTTTAATGCGTTTTGTCCGTATAATTTATATCAGCACTGTGTTGATGGATAATTATGTACTAATCTTAGAAATTGTATTGATCGTAGAAATTTTTGAACGAGCTCTGTTTTTGTCTCCAGAACATTTCGTTGATCAAAAACGTCCCTTCAATAAAACTTTTGTGTAGTTTGAAAAACCTCGTTGTTCTCAATTCAAAAATATGCAGCTTTTTTTTAAATCTCCAATCGTATTATGATATTTATTGGGCATAATAATTCGGTAGCACGGTCAATTTTGAATAATTGACGCGCATCTTATTGTTACTACTTAGATAAAAGTGATCAATACGATGTGTAACGGCATCCAGTTTTAAGCGTTAATAATACATTATATCATGAGTTTATTATCACTCCTTGTAAAATTGAGAAAAAATTGATTTCAATCAAATTTTAATCGATTATAATCTCCTTTTTTTGAAATCAAGATATAATCAATTTAGAACATTTTAATCGAATATAATGGATTATTAACCATCTACTTTTCGATACAATTGTAACCGATATGAATCAATTTTTTTATCGAAAATTTTTTCCTTCGTTCTCGCATCTGAAATGCTTAAATTTAATGCTTTTTGCAGTAGTTTTCTTATGCGAGAAATGAAAACATTGTTTGAAAAATTTTCATCTCAGTTTAAAAAAATTATTTTTTTTTCATTTCTTTTCACAATTTCAGTGTTTTAACAACCAAAGTATCAGCTCTTTATCTTGGTTTCTCAATTTGCTTGGAATTTTTTTTTTCACCTGACCCGGAAAATTTTCAATTTCTAATGTTGGATTTCTTTAAAACTTTTGTTTCAAGGTATAATTTTGTCTACGGATAAACTAAAGTGAGACAAGGCATCTTAGTTTTTGTGAGTGTGTTTTGACCGAAAAATAATAACCCATATGATATAATTGAATCATATTTTGGTGTGACTAAATTTTGTCATAATAAGGGATTATAATTGCTAATCATTCATTATAATTGATTTAAAATGTTTTTGTATAAACTATAATCAGTCATAATTGATTATAAGAGATTATAACCTCTTGGAATTTATCACGATTATAATCGCTAATAAAACTTTTAACCACATACTTTTGTTAATTATAGTTAATTACTGTTGTCAAAAAACCAACGTAATATTCCGATATGATCAAATACTATTATTTAAATATCTAAATATATAACTTGGATGCTGGTAAGTACTAACTGCAAATCGTACTCTAATTAATTGATATCAACTGCTAGGGGAAGTCTCTTAAAACGTTGATTGTCTAGTTGAATCTTTTAACAAAGATCTTTAAGAAACGATTTGCCCAGCTCAATCACAAAACGCGCTTCAACTTCTTTCGTCTTTAAATTATTTTTAGACCCTTTAGTTGGTTAGCAAGAATTGATGAATAATAAGCTTGAAGAGCTAGGTAGTATTCGTATAGAGAAGTGAAATGATCGCTAGCTAGTTTTAATAAACGATAAGCAGAGGCTATCGAGTCTAGCCCTTAGAAATGAATTGTTTGAACAGAAGATTTTCAGACTGTTTCTTTTCAATACTGCGAAAAACTTTTTTTGCAGCTTGAATCATGGCCAAATACAATTTTCATTTGATTTCTTGCACATTTCCACGTTTTTCATATGTATTATATAACGTTTGTTATATCAAATACAAGTGGTGCCGGGAAAAAGCACGCAAAAAACAATTTTATGGCTATTTTCAACTCTCAGAACAAAAAGTGTCAAAGTTGCCTAAATTTTTAAAATGCAGGTGAACAAAAAATTGAAAATTTAAACAGCAAAAAGTACTTTAACAGCCAAAATAAAAGTACAATGCCTTAATTTCATGATTTATTTGGAAAAAATTTTTTTATCTACCGAGGAAACCTTTCAATTAATATGGAGGGTTCTCTATAAAACTTTTGTTTCAAGGTAAAACTTTGTTTTCAGATGAACCAAAGTGTGACAAGACATCTCATTTTTAGAGATTGTGTTATTGACAGAAAAATAAAAGCTCATATGATAAGAGATTATAGTCGGTTAGAATCGATTTTATTTGATAAAAAAATTTCTGTGAAAATTAAAAAATTTTGTACAAATATTTAGTTAGAAATATTTGTGAAAAGATTTTTCCAGTTCAATCTCAAATTTGGCTTCAACTTATTTCGTTTTCAAAATATTTTTGACCCTTTAGTTGGTTAGCGAGAGGCGCTGAATTATATATAAGCTTGAATAGTTAGGGAATAATCGATTAGAGAAGGTAAAATAATAGCTAGCAAATACTAATGAATCATAAATAGAGGCTATCGATTCCAGCCCTTAAAAACGCCTTGTTTGACTAGAAAAAATATTTTTGGGTTGTTTCTTTTCAGTACTGCGAGAACTTTTTGTTGCAGCATGAACCATGAACTATGGTTAAATATTTGAACCATGACCATTTGAATTCTCGCATGATTCCATTTCAACTTTGCCATATCTATCATAAAACGTTTGTTATATCAATTATACGAGCTGCCTGGAAAAAAGCGCCCAAATAACGATCCTTTACCTTCTTTCAATTCTCGGAACAAAACAGTGTCAAAGTTGCCTAAATTCTTAAGATGCAGGTAAGCACAAAAAATGAACAAGTATACAGAAAAAACTTTGCTATAAAACCAAAATCAGTTGGCATAGATCTTCTTCGGAACAAGTACAGATCCCATAAACCCACAGGCCATGAAAGCCATACACACTGAAGTAACTAAATGCTGTGACACCTTAGACAGCACTTGAATAAAGTATGGACCGATCGGAAGGGGCAAGCACATTAGGAACGAACATAGTCCAAAAAGACTGCTTCTGATATTAGTTGGCAGTAACCCCGACAAACTGAGCCACATTTTGATGTTGATACTGATACCCAAAATTTGAATGAGAGAGAAAATACCCAAGGCCATCCACGATGGAGGACAAAAATAAAGAACAGCGGTTAATATGATACAGAAAGTGAAACAAGTCATGGTTACTTTTTTCAAGCTGAAATTCAATTTGAGCACAAAAATTGAGCCCACAATTCCGACAGCGTCTGAAACGATTTGGTAATACAAGAGCTGAAGGTAGTTTTCAATTTCGAGGTTGTAAGTATTCTTTAAACTGCTGGCGCAATAATTTGACCCCGATTGACCTTGCATGAACACGAGCTCAGTTTTGACAAAATTCATTCCGTAGAAAATGAATCTCGCCGCTATTCCCATTGCAACTATACATATCAACGAAAGTAAAATTTGCCGGTTTCTGAAAACTAGTTTGTATTTTTGCATCAGCGTCAAACCATTGTCTTGATCTTTTCTTGAAGCCATTTCGATTTCTGGAACTAAAGTAAAGCTTTCCGGCAGGCGATTATTTTTTGTACCAGCAATTTTTCTGAGAACTTTGGCCGAAGCTTCCGTCTTTCCTTTGGAGATTAAAAAGCGAGGTGACTCATGCAAGAATAAAAGAGCTATGAGCATGAATATAAGAACGGGGACAGTCATTGATAAAAAGTAAAGTTTCCAACTGTAAGAAGAGGTTTCGCCTGTCAGGAAGACCAAGGCTGCGATAATCGGGGTGGCATTTCCGATGGCGGAGGAGACATTGTAGATGACAGTGAATCCGAGCCACTGGTGCTTCGTGCTCAGGACTTCGTAGCTATAAGGCATCAGCAGGTTGACTGCTCCTATGAAAAGTTTACAAGTTCGGTAAAACTGTTAAATTTGTATGAAAAAAAACCAGATTTAAAGTTAAACGAGACAAACTAGATTTAAATTTAATTTAAACTATTTCGCTATTAGAAACGATTTCGCTTTTTTCTGCAAGGCTTTACTTTTATCAAATAGTTAACGATTGCATATGCGGGAGGTTGTACACAAATTACCACGCGTGGGTTGTAAATAACAGCAAAAGTGGGCTTTTTTTCCTTTTCCCCCACCTGCGAAATTTTTGTAGTAACTTACTGTTTTGATTGTCCCATTGTAACAAAAAATTGTCATGCTGACTAATTAGGCCATGACAAAAACATTTGGTCTTCATACTTAACCTTGGGTAAAACCCCTCGTAGTACCAGGGGGGGGGGGGAAAGGGGGGGAAGAAAAAGAGCCTAAATGTGTATGGTAATACTAACCTCCGGCTAAGGAATAGAACAGTCTAAATGCAATGAGCCACGTGACTGAAGGGGCCACACAGCATAGCAGACTCCAGGTGCTGATCCAAAGGGAGGCCAAGAGAGTCGACTTCTTCCTCCCCCACCGGTCGGACACCAAGCCCCACAGCGGGTAACTGACAATCATGGCAATCGGGTTGGTCAAGGGGAAAAAAGTTGATTTTTCGCAGAATTTTTATCAGCTGAACCGTATTATCAGTTGAGCAATTTTTTTCTGCAAAAACAAAATCAGATGGTCAAAGTTTGAAAAACATTATAAAATTTCTTGTTAATGTTTTTTTTCCAGTAAACTAAGGAAAGAAAGATTTTCTATTCGGGTGGTTTTTCATCACGAAAAATTAGTTGACACAATGATGTACAGCACCAAATTGGTTAAAATATCACATTAAAGCTCTTTTATTTGTAATTTAGACTGAAATGCAAAATATCGGAAAAACTAGTTTATTGTCGAGAAAAAAACGATGAAAAATTTTAGCTTGTGGATCATAATTTATTTGACTAGATTATTTGACTAGAATATGTCACAATATTTAAGCTGTTAATTCAAAGTGATTTTCAAGAATTTAAGATCCTCTCCCGGTTAAAACAAAAAAAAACTTTTGAGCAAACAAATTTGCACAAAACTAGATTTTCCTGACGCCTTATACTTTTCTTAACCAATAGTTGGTAAAGAAAGACGACCCTGATTGCAATGCCACCATAAGAGGCGACTCCCAGGAGTGACTCCAGAATAGGGGTGAGATTTAGGTCCACGTATAATCTAGTGGACAGGTAGGGCATCATCGATACTAGTCCATACTGAAGATCAAGGCCCCTTTTCCATGCATTTTTTTCGAGATCTAAACCAATACTAAGTGAAAATTTGGAAAAAAACATAATTCGGTTTACTCGCTTTTGATTTCAATTAAATTTTTAAAAAGCTTCCTTTTTGTAACTTAAATGAATGATTCAAATTATAAAAAATGGTCAGATATTTGAATTATTTAGCAATGTTCACAAATGGAAGAGCGCCTGAGTGATGAATCCCAAAGATAAAATTGAGATGAAAATCAGCTGAGTAGAACCAAAACCGAGAGACGAAATGATTTCCGAAGAAGTGTAAACACGGCCACTTTTGGTCGTCGCAGTTCCTTCTCTCGATTCCTGTTTAGATTCCACAGCACCATAGTCTGCAGTTTTTTCAGTCGAACTTAGGCGAGATTGTTGGATTTTGCTGTTCATTTTTAGTCATATGAATAATGCTTTCAAGGCCTGACCATTTAGAATGTTCAAAACATCATGGTAAACAGTCGTTGCAACTTCTATTTAATAATAGTAAACAGAAAGTTGTTTTGTTTTCGGTTAGCCTAAAATCTAACCTTCAACTCTCCCAAAACGGTCTGAAGGAGATCAGGGGTGGATCTAGAAATTTCAAAAATTTTGTCGACTTTTTAGGTCGACCAAATTCATTTTCAGAGCGCTGCCAGAACACTCTAAAGACTCTATTTTGACTAAAAATTTAGTTTTTTTTTGGCGCGCGCTCCCCTTAAAAAGTAGCATATATTGGAATCAAAGGCACCTTTAGAAAAATTTTAGAATTGGTCGGACTAAAATGGATGTCACAAATCAATACCAAAGGGGGACCCTTTGGTTGGTGAGGGGGTCCAATCCATGAGAAGGGATGTCCGCTTCCGGCCTCCCCCTCAAATCCGCCCTGAAGGAGATTAAGGTTGTCCAACATGATTTCCACAGAAACCATTCGACTGTGACTCATTTCTCGGAACTTCGAGACTGTGTATTATTTATTGAAATGAAAAGTCGAACATAGTCTTCCTTGATATTGCAAGGCTTCCGATTATATCAGCCATACTATAATATAGTCAAATTTCAGAAAAACTGTTTAGATGGCAACTATTTGATTTTCTTGGCAATCGTATTCGACGGGAGGAAACCAAAGGTAGAGGTAGAACCATTTCTGGCGAGACTTTTTTTCAAGGGTTGGACCGAGAAAAGTGATACGCCATTTGTTTTAGCAATTAATGTTGCCAGTTACTGCATCGAATTGTTGTCTTAGTTAAAATTAGAGTATCGAATTGCTGTAACATTCGCCCAAATACTACACAGCGACGGAGCGTAGAAAAAGTACCTATTAACGACTGGCAGGCGTCAGTTACCTTAATCCTACTCGTTTTTCACCGTCTCGACCTTGCCAGTTGATTTTCTGGTCTGTTTAGGGCAAAGTAAAAAGTTACCATTTTTAGGCCATCAGTCAAACGACTTTTGATCAGCTTTCGTTTACATGCGAACACAACCACATAGCTGAGTCTCGGATCCTCAGACTACGTGATTGTCATTAAAAACACGGCTCGAACAACCTATTTTAATATGTTTTTGTGTGACAGTTCTACATTAAATCCATTGGAGATGGATTGACCCTTTCCTCTTTCTAGCTACTCATATTCTAAAATATCAAGTTACACCGGTGTTAATTTAAAGTTTCACGACATCCAAGTAGCTATACAGTCAGCTTTATACAGTCCCTTCACATAAACAGTCTCTGGGGGACCAAGCCTCCGCTCCCGTGATATTCCAGCGATAACGCTCTTTTTTCTCCTAATTTGCGTCCCGGGAGGGTTCCGTGGAATACTCCTTCCCCACTGAAGCTTCCTTCTCCACTAATATCTGCTGATAAGGGTCTTATCGTGCATTGCTGCCACGATAAGAGGCTTCGTATTTTCCGTCTCTTGTACGACTGTTTTTCACAATATTTGTCGTTGTTCTTATTTTCGTCACTTTTTTGGCTCAAAATGGCCGTTTTTCGTATTTCTGAGAAATATCAACTTGAAAATCGAATTTTTAAAAATAAATATTCCAGAATATTCTGACCCTCCTTTCAAGCACTTTTTTGCTGTTAAGGCCTTTTCTCTCTGATTCGTGCTTCGTCGGAAGGTTGCGCTGTGCCATCTGGCAGAATGGCACATACTCCCCGGACAGTCCCCATCAATGTCCCTATTGATCGCATAACACCGGGTTATCGTCAAGTAGTTATCCAGTTTTCTGTAATCAATCTTACAAATCGCATAAGAAAATGAAATTTATCTACCCCACCTCAACTCACTACGTGTTCACAAATGGCATCGTACTACATCTCACTGCCTTTTAACATTTTCACAACATTTGCACCATGAGGAGTGTCCTAGATAAAATTTCTTTTCTGACTACTTACGTCGTCTTGCCATAAAATTTCTTTTCGCTCTTTGTGATTAAAAAGTTGGGACGTGGCACGGCCACGCACCTGTTAAAATTAACTTAACGTCACTCACCAAGTATAATCAGTTATTTATGCGGTCCTTTCAATATTAAAACTAAGAAACTCTGTGGCTAGGAAAGTTATTGAGTTACCCACCCTTCTCGAGCGAGTTTACTCAAACTTACCATGTCGCCACACAGTGAAATTGTGTCTTACACAGGTTAAAAACTTCAATCGTGTTTAAATAGGTAAATATACTCACCTATGTTCTATATATACATAAATAAATAGTCATAACTAAAATTTCTTTTTCAACAATTTAACAATTTTCAAAGTTTGGTTTGACCAAACTAAATCAAAACAAAAAGTTTCACAAGTTCAATAATCAAAACTTGGTTGATTGGTTTTAGTTTTAGCACATAAAGACAATCAAGTTTTTTCTCCTTCTCTTCTCTTCTTTGTTCATCTTCATTCCATCACTTCTCCATCTTGATCTTCAGCTTCGCTGTCTTCCAATACTTTCTCCAGCATGTCCATGGAGTTGCGGGCCGTGCCCCAACTCTCCTGTTCCAACAGCCTCGGTTTGCAACAAGGTAGCAAGTCAACATTAACCTTTTGCTCCCGGTTCCTGCAAAAGCTGTTGCAAAACCTAGGACAAGTTCTAGGTCAGCTCTTAAGACCTCTTTCTTCTCATCTTCAGTTACACAAGGCGCTCCAGCTACTCGCTTCACCGCCGTAGTGACCGCGTTTCTGTGCGTCAGGAATGCTCTCTTATAGGCTCCTGGTCCTATATCTAGCTGGAAAGATTGATAGGCTTCCGTGTTCCTCGACATGTGACGCTTCGCGCGTTCATACATCCATGATGTCATCACTGCACGGAACCAAGGCATCAATCTTTGCCTTGACCATATTCTTTCAATGGCTTTAGGTATTCTCAGAACCTTGCAGGTGGTTCTGAAAAGATCCAATTCATGACTCATCTTCACGTTGCTCAGCTGCTCAGGAGTCGGCACGGCCGTCTCCTGTTCACTTGTGTCCGCGTTAGCCTCCAGCCATCTCACTGCCAGCATGGCACTAACCACCACGATTGACACCTGTTGATTCTGATCGGGCAACCCCGTAGAGTACAACTCCTCCACGTCCCATACTAGCATCAGATTCCCGCGTTTGGGGTACCACAACGTCTGCGCCAAGCAGTGGCAAGGATACTCCCCATGGGTTCTCACTATGTTCCTTCGGGTCCGATACCCTGAGGCTCCCAGCAACGGTTCCACCTCCATCAGAATTCTGTGTGAGTCATCTTTCTCTTCTATGGTGGGGAATTCAGTGGGTAACGCTCCACTCGCTTTCTGTTTCTGGAACTCACTCACATTGCCTTCATTTAATCTCAGAAACTCTTCACCCACTACGTCTTGTAACTCGCCTTCAGATCTCTTCGGAACTGCCCGAAAGATCTTCGCCAATAAATCATATGACCTCTCCGACATTCTGGCCAACCTCACGCACTTTGGCACAGAGAAAAGTTGGTCAATCAACACCTGCTGTGTCCTTAAATCCATCACCACCATGTGTGTAGGATATCTACTACTGCAATATGGTGCGGAGCTTGAACCCACCAGATATCTTGAACCAGTCGGTTTATGATAGGCCTCACTATCTTTCAGATTCATCTCGTTCTCCAGAGCTTCTCTCCAGCCTCCGATCTTCTGCTCCGTTTGCAATGCTCCAGGGAATACTTCCACACTGAGGGACGTCACTAGCTCATGGGCACGCTCCAGGCGCTCAAGCGATTCAATCGAACTCGTCATGCTACAAAATCCCAAGGCTGTGATCAAGTTTACATCCGTCACCCCATGACAGTCCGCGACCAACTCCATGCCACTCTTATCCGACATGCT